CCCCGTGGATTGGGTACTCATTTTACCGGCCTCGGAAAGATAGAAGGCTGAGTCAACCTTGAGCCAGCTACCTGGGATTGAACCCCAGGTCATGACCACAGTTTTGGCTGCAGTACAGCTGTTTAACCACTGCGCCACAAGACTTGTTAGGAAAATAAAAAAGTCACACTCTAATCCTAAATATTTTTACCTGGAATAAAGGAAGCCCACTGGATCTAACCAGACTTCCACTCCCAGTAGACATGCAAGATTGTGACCCAAGGACGTAGAACTGATTTATCTTATTCTAGAGGATGCAGGATTAGGACATTTGGTGTGAGTGCCTGGGGCTTACAGGTAATAGGGGTACTATTTAGGCAAATATGTGCTTAAACTAAATATGTTTCAGACAGCAGTAGAGGTGCATGTGAGTGATGCTTGTAAATGTAAAAACACTCACACACCCTAACAACTGTAGGAAACATATAAAAGGAAAATGCTTTGTTCTGAACATGCTGTTTCTTAATTTTTATAGGTAAGCTTTCATCTCTTTGAGCCTCCACCTGTTTCTTAAAATGACACAATCCAGACCCAAGTTTACCACCTCATTTGTTGTTTCTGAGATCCACATTTTTGTGCTAGAAAAAGCATTACTTGCTTAATTTCTATGAGCCAGAGTTCAATTAGCTTGCAGTTGCCACAACTCAGAAACCGCCAGGCCTGTGCCTTGCAGGGGGATGAGCACATCTACAGCTTGTCTTAACACACACACACACAGAGAGGGAATCCCCTTGGTTACAAACAAAATATGCACAGCAAAATCTGTGCCAAGAAGCTCACAAGATGAGGCTGCTTATACTTTTAAATTTGCTTTATTTTTAACACCATGTTAAGGTTCACAACCTAAAATGCCCACTCTGTTACTGAACATGTCACTTAGGACTATAATTATTTTATCATTTCAACAAATTATTACTGATCATCTTCCAAAGCCGCCTTTAGCAATGCCACATTGCATAGACAAATATGACCACAGATGTGAGGCAGAGAACATTAGGAACAAACTTCTTTAACCTTCCCATAATAAAGATGCCTAATAGGGTCTCTAGTACCACACAATCTCATACGTACACAGTTATCTTGTGTCTGAGACACGGTGCATAGAAATCTCTGAGCCATCTTTTCTTTAACATAGGCAGATCATTCTTCAACATAGGCACCAGCCCTGCTAGACTGTTCCATCATTTGTCTCCCTGCTGCCATTAACAATAGATTCTTCTTTCCTGTGCTTTAGGGATCTAAGCACAGGCACATTCACAGTATACAATTAAAGATGCAGCAATCTCCAGGAGAGAGATACGTCTTGCACACCAAGCAGATAAACTGGGATTGCACTAGAACAAATGTTAGTATAAGTCATCTTTAGCTTTTAGCACTGAGAAACATACACTGTGAACAAAACAAAACCCAACATTGGGCATATGCACACACAGTCTGGATCAGGTTAAGCTGTTTATCCTCTGCTTCATGGGGAGAGTTGAGCATACTTATCTGTCTGTCACTGAAATAAGTTGACACAGCTTGGATAATTTCCATTGTTTTTCCATCCTTTTTAAAAGCCAGCACATGTGTTTCCTATCCCATGAATACCAGTGATGAAACCCTAAACAAGTCAAGTTTACAATAACTTTTAAGACTCACTGATAGTGAGCATTAATAAAGTATGGAGCAATGTGTTTCATGTTGCTTTGGGAGATACCTGTATTTTGTTGTACTGACCACTGTCTTACTATTCCAATAATGGGATGACATTGTCTTACAGCTTTTGATGGAGACGTCTGGAGACTGCAACACCCCATATGTTAGAGTGACTTCAAGGAACCGTAAACCACTGCAGAATCCCAAGCCACAAGTGGGGAAAAAACGCTTGTCTCAGGCACGCCACAGAGCTACTCTGGCTGGACTCTTCAGCAACCTACAAGAAGTTGTATATTCTCAGCAAGATAGTTCTGCATCAAAGGTATAGGTGGAAAAATTGAAATTGCATATATGACAGATTAAATGCTAAGTATTTACTTTAAGTTCTTTAGAATCTTAAGTTCTGCCCAGGCTATTTTATATAGTTGAAATCTCACTGAAAGTTTATTATTTCTATCAGTAAAAACGTTTCTTTCAGAACAAGACAGCAGGAAACTTTGCATATCATATTTTTGGATATCTGGCTTATGGCTTATTCTAGGATTTTCCCGCTGAAGACTATAAATATCTTCATGATGTTACTATTTTGGATGCATACCAAGACAACCTTTTTATATTCTTTTGGAGGGCAGCTTTTTCAAGTGATATACAGTATATCCTTCTAGCTGTGATACCGTATATCCTTTTAGCTGCTAATGGAAGCACCAAACTAGCTTGAGATGGCTCTCAGGAGAACTCCTCTAGCAGTATACTAGAGTTCAGATACTTTCTAAAGCAGTATAGGATTAATGTAACCTAGGGTAACTTTGCTGGTCCCTGGTGCTCCATCTTCCCCGCCAAGATTTGGGCTTAGAAGACCAAGGAAAAAATGTGAATGCTTGAAGATAAATTGTAAGCAAGCCATCTGTGGCAATGCACAGTTTCTTTGCTCATCATAGAGCATGTCTGTTAAGGCACCTGCTGACTTAATACAGCTTGTCCCAACATGCCTTCACCAAAGGGTATCTTGATCGCTGAATACTAAACCACCTTAAATCTCTGGTGTTGATATGCAGTCTATACCACCTCTACACAGTGTTCACACACCACACTTTATTCACAACAGCTCATGAACCTCTCAAGCTGGCATGGGCTTTTTTGGATAACCTGTGCTCAGTTCATGAAGGCATTTTCAGTTTGTGACTTCCATACAACAGGCTAAACATTTCTGCCTCTCCACGGCTCCTTATGCCACACGATGAAAAAGCTCCATTCATGATGACTCATGTGACAGGGAAGTTAAGCCACTGTACTATTACATGACAGTTATAAACATCATGTGATAATGGACAAGCACATGAATCCATTCTTTTTTTTGTTACTATTCAAATTATTTAAGTGATGGAAAGAATGAATGAAGTAATCTGTTAACCAGTATGATGAATGTATTCTCTCTCTCTTTTTTTTTCCACTACGAAAAAGCAAGTAATCTACTTCGGCTACTCATTGTACTCTGATGCATCTGAAGTCTCTAGGTGGATATTTACCCAGCAATAAAAGTTTGATCAGGGAATGTAATGCATATTAAAATGTTGATCTGCTCAAGTCATGAAATAGAATGGCTCTATTTTCTGTTTTCTTGTTTAGTGTCAGGTTTTATATAAGACTAAGAATTATATTCTGGAACTGGAACAAACCTTGGAAAACTTGCTGAAGATGAAAGGTACTGTATGTAAATGCTTGGCCAAATTTATTGCCCCTTGTTTCTTTAAATTTGCCTTAAAATTTCCACATTATTATGGAATCACACCAGGCTGGACTAGATTATACTTTAGGATAGAATTAGGCCCTATTTCACTAAACTATTTCTCCCCAATCTGTGTGTGCATTGCTGGTGTTATATATTCACCACCTTTTCCTTGGCTGCATCTACTGCCACCTGCATGCTTGCTGACATGACCAAATAAGAGGTAAGTATAATAGTCCATGCCGATTGCTATAGTTCTTATCCCTTATTGTATTCCATTCAGACATTTCCCTCACAAATCACCGATGAGGTAGTGAACACATGTCTCTGTTTTGCCACTTTAGGTTGCAGGTGGGATTTAGACACATACATAACTTGTAACAGTTGCTTTTTGGATTACACCACTCACTGTCCCCTGATCAGGCCTTGCTATTGGGGAGATTTTGTATGTAAATGTCCAAAACATTTTCATTGTCTGCATTTGCGTGACAGATGTTTGTTTGGGCAATCAAATTTCTTGCCCACTAATAACATTTCCATCAAGGAAAGGATTTGCATTTCAACCCAACTTCCAAGGCTGATTTTGTCTCATTTTCTCTTAAATACCTCCAGCACTGGAACACCCACCACCTCCTGAGGTAAATGGTCCCATTGTCCACATGGAATCATGGATAGGAAGGAAATGGTATCTCAAATGGTACAGAAGGATTTTTAGAAAGTAGGAATTGAAGGAAGAGGATTTGGATTCTGCTTCAGGCAGCAAAATGTCTCTTAATCCGGTACTGCTACCTTGTGTGACATCTTGGGCCACCTTTTTATACTATATCATTCAAAGAGTTCCATGCTGCCACTTTATTGTATTAGGTGCAGGGGATGTTTTAGCTGTGGACTAGGGAGAGCTTGATTCAAATCCTAAGTCAACTATGATGCGTAAGAGTTGGTCCTTGCCTGCATCACTTTCCCATCATGCTTAATGTGGCTTCTTGTTGTTTAGTCGCTAAGTTGTGTCTGACTCTTCGTGACCCCATGGACCAGAACACGCCAGGCCCTCCTGTCTTCCACTGCCTCCCGGAGTTTGGTCAGATTCATATTGGTAACTTCGGTGACACCGTCCATCCATCTCTTCCTCTGTCATCCCCTTCTCCTCCTGCCTTCACACTTTCCCAACATCAGGGTCTTTTCCAGGGAGTCTTCTCTTCTCCATGTGGCTGCCTTTTACTAATTTAGACTATTTTCACATCTAGCCCAAGGTTGTTTACTCTGGCTAGTAGCGGCTCCTCAGGGTTTCAGGTGGAGGCTTTCACATTATCTGGTACCTAGTTCTTCCAAATGGACATGCAAAACAGAGAATCTTCTGCAAACACTAACCAGGCCTCACCCTTCTATCCCTTTGCTATGGCAAAGGTAGCAAAATACTAATGGAATTTCATTTGCCTGCTGAGATTTGACTTTGGGTATTGTGTCAAGGAGCTGGCTGGATAGTTCAGTGGTTTAGATATCTAGATCTGTTGTCTCAGATCCCTGCTGTGCCTCCTACAAATAGAGTCAGCCTATGTGGCCTTGGGCAGATTACACAGTGCCAAGGCTCCCCCAGAAAAAAAAAAGGGATAGTAAACCACTTATGAGTATTGTCTATCTAGAAAATCCTGAAAAAGTTTGCCATGTCAGAGTTGACTTGACAGCATATGGTTATTTTTATTATTATGCCAGGAATTGAGTTCAAACTTCAAATTTTCGTTGGCTAGTGAAATAAAAAGGGCAACTGGCTCTGGTACCTGTCATAGGAACATAGGAATTTGTCTTATTTTGAGTCAGACTGTTGCTCTCTGTTGTCAACTCTGACAGGCAGCAATGGCTCTCCAGAGTTTCAGGTGGGATTGTTTCTTCACCCAACCTGGAGATCTCGCATGTTCTTTATCGGTCACCCATCCAAATACTAACCAGATCTGACCCTGCTTAGCTTCTGAAATTAGGCAAATTGCTTTGTATTCAGAGTGGTGTTAGGATCAGAATGAACCACAATTGGCCAGGTGATTTTTGTGTGTAAGTGATCCTTGTCAAGGCATAGATCTCTGAGCTGCTACCTTAAAGCTGCAGTTGTATTGTGTATTTAATTTTAACAGGTTTGCTATGTAATCATATTGTGCTATATGTATATTGGTTTTTGTTGGTGTAAGTTAGCAGAGTTTTTGTTTCAGCCCAGGCTGTCCAATTGAATGACACAGACATAGACAGCTTCTTCTGAAACCAGGTGTACTTACAGTATATACAGAAGTTCGGTGGTACAAACCAGCAGCATGACAGCATGACATTCATTAGAAAAGATCCGGCATCTTCTCCACATGTCCCCACAGTTATACACATGCACAGCCAATCAGTGTGGACGTTGCATCATCCCAGACTACACGATTCAGCATTTTGCACACCTGTCAAGTATGGCTTCTGATTATCATGGGCCTTGTTCTGCCTCAGTGTGGAAATTATCCTTGACAGTTTCTATATTGTAAGGTGTATTGTGATTATATTGTTAGCTGCTTTGAACATGCAGTACTGGGCAAAATCCTGTTGAGTATTATTGCAACTCAGATGAGACACAGGAAACATTTAATTTACATCAATTAGAATCTCCCTATTAACCACCCACCCACCCATTTTATGTTTTGAGTCTCCCTCAGGCTCCTTTCTGCCCTGGGAAGCCTTTGAGAACTTTAGATTAGGAGGAAACCTCTACAAGTCAAAAATCACTGTGGGAACAGTGCTACCAGGATTGGGATCACAGCCATTGATCCACTGACAATTTATGCCTTTTAAAGGCTCCCTCTCCTGTCCCGATGTTCCCAAAACATTCCCCAGTGCAAAAGGAAGTCCAAGGGAGCCTTCGAACCTAAAATTTGGGGAGAGGAAGTTTTTGTTTAGTGTAAATTAAACATTTCCAGCACCCAATCTGAGTTGGGCGAGGCCAAAGTTACACAACAAGATTTTGGCCCCTATCTGTTAATACTTGTAGGGTGATAATCATAATGAAAACAACAGCAACCCTGTGGTCATAAGATTTGAAATTATTTAGCCACATTGCTTTCTTGTGTTGGGCCTGATCCTGAGCAAACCTTATAATATGCCAGTTTGTGATGACCGTTCTTTCTGGTGGGCCTGATCCTGAGCAAACCTTATGCCAGTTTGTGATGACCGTTCTTTCTGCTGGCAACAGACGTTTTGAATCTGGAAGATGGCAGTCCCTCAAGCTTGGAGGAAGTAAAAGAGGAATATGTCAAGATGTACTTTAGCAATTGCAGGTAAGATGTTGAAAATCTAGATATACCCTGTTTCCCCAAAAATAAGACCTAAACTGAAAATAAGCCCTAGTATGATTTTTCAGGTTGCTCGTAATATAAGATCTACTCCAAAAATAAGCCCCATTTAAGTGAAACTCTGCCCTCCACCATTGTGCAGCAACCAGAAGATGACATGACTGTGTTTGAATAAATGTATTTATTTTATTTATTTATTTATTGCATTTATATGCCGCCCATCTAGACATAGTCTACTCTGGGCAGCTCACAACTTAGAAGATAAAAACGATTTAAAATATACAGTTTTACATTAAAAACAAAATAATATAAAATGTAATATAAATGTAGATTGTTGCACCTGAAAAAAATAAAACATCCCCTGAAAATAAGCCCTAAGGTGTTTTTAGAGCAAAAATTAATATAAGACCCTGTCTTATTTTGGGGGAAACACGGTAGTAAGATCATTGCCTTTAAGCATCTCAAAGCACTGTGAAAACTTGAACAGCATGAGTTACTCCTGCCTTTTAAGGTGTGTACAGACATTTACATCAGGGTGTAGCACTGACAGCAAGAAGAATAGTGACTGTATAGCACAGTGGTCTGTCCTGATGCTATAATGCATGGGGGTTTGGAGGGAAATTAATTAATTTACTATTTTAATGTTCAGAGGTGGATGTAATTTATGGTAGTGGCATGTGCTGTGTGCACAGATTGTGCTAACATATCCTTATACAGCTTTGTCCTCCATCCAGAAAATTTTTTGAGGATGTCCTTCCTACAAAGCAAATCATTTAAGCACATAGAATCATAGAAAAGTGAAGTTGGTTATACAGCTTTGATCTCCATCCAGAAATTTTTTTGAGGATGTCCTTCCTGCAAAGCAAATCATTTAAGCATATAGAATCATAGAAAAGTGAGGTTGGAAGGAGCCTACAAGGCCATCAAGTCCAACCCCCTGCTCAATGCAAGAATACATTATTAAGTCTCATCCTAAACTCCATTTACATATCTTTCTGGCAATATAGTCCTGTCTCACAACTTGTAAAGAGAACTGCTCAGAAAGGATCAGTCTCAAACCATAGGGTAGGGTGGGGTGGGGGCAACTTTAGTGGATCCAGAGGATCCAGATTTGTTTCCCCTGGGTCCTATACTTCTTCGCCTCTGTGACACTGCAATTCAATGGCAAAGCACAAAAACCCTTTAAATGAAACATATTCTGCTTATCGAATAGAGTTTAAAGCACTGAATTAGGGACAGGCTTGTGGGTGGCATGAAAAAAAGGAGTCTGGAGAGTCGCATACAGCCTACATGTCCCAGGTTGCCAAACTCCTCCATATGTTTCCAACAAGTGAGGAAGCTATGATTTCTCTTTTTGACTTCCAGCATAGCGCCCCCTTCAAATGCTATGATTCAGAGTGACACCACTGTATGCTCTGTGATTCAAGAGCATGAGAAGAACTCAATAGAAGAGGATGTAAATCTAAAAATTACACAGTCACCAACCATCTCCTCTCCTGATCTTATGGAGTTTGAACGGTATGTGAAGCAGCAGGTTTCATTTGCCCTGTTGAAGTAATCCATCAGGAAAAGTGATATAGGATTGAATTGTTTCTATATGTCAGCACCATACACAAGAGAGAAAAACTGTGATTCTAATAGATGCAAATTGAGAGAAATGTAATAAGTACAACTTCTTTTTTCAGTATGCTTCAATAAGGGGAGAAACTGTGCCACGTATAAGTTGTTCACACCATACTGCTACTGAAAGAACAAAAGAACATGTAGTGGTCAGGTGGCAGAGCTTTACCGGTGGCTTTGTAGTCCAGACTCCTAGCTTTCCTCTATCTCTGACATGAGAGGTTATGGCACTGGTATGTATAATACGGAAGAGATACAGGAAAGCAGGTCTATTCATTGCAGAACTTCACACCTTTTACAGAAATGCAGAAATTGTGGATTTGTTTCTGCCAGTAGCATTCACCTGTTCTTGTCAATGGAGCTTCCACTGTTTCCACACAGTGGAATAGAAAAATAGCTGCATATAAGCTGGGATAAATATTTGGTAATATAGATGACAAACCAATACCTGGCTTGATGCACTCTTCAGACTGATCTTCCACTTTTGCTGCTCTAAAGTACTATGTATGCCCTTCACATAGCATAAATATATTCTTGCCCAACCTGTTTTTGTAACATCTGAAGATCTCAGAAAGTGTACTTACCTTTTTGTGCCCTTATAGTTGGCTCAATAAAAATATTCCTGTAATACAGATTTTGGATCTTTTTCTCCTTATGTTTAGAACAGCTATTTGGGATTTTTGTGTAAAAATAATATGCAGTAGCAATCAAGCATGGCCAGCAGATGGCACAAAGTTGCTTCCCTCTTACAGTTCCTTGTGACATACATACAGTAATTTATGATTTCTCAAGAGCTGGCAAAAGCTTTAGCCATGAAAATGATTAGCTGTACAAAACCTATTTAACTCCTTTCTGTTTTCTGCTCCCTCCCTTCCCGCCTTTATTGATACTCCTCATGCAGGCTTGACCTGGTATTTCACAGAAGTGCAGATTATTTACGGGTTCTAGCATGTAGGTTCATGAGACATGTGCTCTTAAATCCTTCCATGTTTAGTTCCTTAATTAAAAATAACATGCCTCTTTAGTACTATATCATGTCTTATGACTATATTATTGCACTACCCAACAAGTTGATTCCTTTTTTTTTCAGGTTAGAGTTTAAGGAGACTGTCTTCAGGCAGGTGGCAGGCATAAGGGGCCACAGAACGGGACAAAATGTTCACATAGCTGAAAACTGAGCCAGTGTGTACACAACTATCGTGCCAAATAATGTATGCAGTAAAATCATGAGAAGTATAGGGCAGGATGATGAGTGAAAGGTGCACATAAAGGAAGTGATTCTCTAGCTTGGTATTGTGTTGTATTAAGAGAATAGCCCATAGCTAAGAGACATAGCCTGTTGTTTGCTTGAGGATTATTCCAGGCTCATTTCTTGGCATCTCCAGTTAAAAAAGGATTGGGTAGAAGGTGATAGGAAAGACTTCTGCTGGATACCCTGGGAAATATATTGTGCCCATCAGAGCAAGGAACGGGGGCTTAACGGACCAATTGTTTGAGCTGGCAGAAGGCAGCTTCCTTGACAATGCATTCACCCTGTAGTTTTTGTGTAAGCAAAGCATGGAAGGGCTACCTGATGGCTCTGTGCACTATCAGAGGCCATCCAAACCACATCCTGAGAGCTGTCTCCCTTTCCTGTCTCATTCTAGATACTTGTATTTTTACAAAGAGACGGTAGACCTGCTGGTAGATAAAGGGGTTGTGAGCCCTGAAGAGGTTATGCTGCCTGTGGTCTCCATGGCTGTTTCCCACTTGTGGCAGGGTCTCCCTGAAGAAAGGAGGGACAGCGCCCTGCAGTACTGCTGTAGTCAGAGAAATAATTTCCTCTCTGAGTTCAGGAGAGCATCCCAAGAACTTGCCTGGACTTCTGAGGGCAGTGTGAGAGACAGCGTGACCAATAGTCAGGAAGCCAGCGGTTCAGTATTATCCACATCCGAGGAGGTGAGAATTAGCCTCTTTTAGGATTACTGCTCCATGCTTTTTCTACATTTTTTAAAAAAAAATGCTAAATTCCTTTTCTCTGAAAGGCGAAGGATGTAGTGGCCTTTTCTTAAACCATCAAGAAGAATTATGATGATTCCTAACATAAGGGAAGATCCTGGGAATAATTAACGATTCAGAAAATGACAAGCATGTATTATAGGAAAAGCTATAAACCAAGGGAACTCTCCATTGGTGCTAAAGTGACCTTCTTCAGACCCATAAATATAGGATTTTAGCCTGTCTGAGAATATGTAAGACAGTGTCTAAAATTAAAAAATAAAAAAGAATTTGGCAGGTGGAACCATGGCTTACATTACAAAAACACACAAGGGAAAGGGAAAACAGCATCAAGTAATGTGTTCTTAGGAAAAAATGCTCCCGTCAAGTAATGGGCACCTATATGGTAATATCACCCATATATTTACCCTGTTTAAGCAGGCAGACAAATAGCAGTCTGAACTCCATTCTCCCACTCTGTCCAGCTTTCCTTCATCAGCCTTTTCCTTTGACCCATACTTTCTCAGCTGCTTCAGGTATGTTGACTGTAGCATGGATTGTTTATGCACTTCTGTATGGAAGAGAGAGGAATGGGTATATGGAAAATTTCCCCATAAAATAGCATTTATCTACTTACAGTGGGGTCTTGACTTGAGAACTTAATCCGTATTGGAAGGCAGTTCTCAAGTCAAAACGTTCTCAGGTCAAATCTGCATTTCGCATAGGAATGCATTGAAAACCATTTGATCCGTATCTGCTTTTTTCCGTCCATAGAAACTAATGGGAAGCTGCTATTCCGCCTTTGACCACTAGAGGGGGATATTTTGTTTCTTTTTTTCTTAGGTCAAGAAAGGTTCAGGGAAGGCAGGGAAAATACAGTCCAGGCAGTACAGTACCAGGCAGTCTGAAGACTGTCTCCCAATCCACTCTCCAAACGCTGGGAGGAGTGAGGAAGCAGACAGGCACCCTTTTCACTGGCCAACAGTTAACTGAAAGTTCAAATTTTGCACTTTCCCTGCCTCCCATGTGGTTTTTTTTAGTTCTTAACTCAAATCTAAGTACTTAAGTCAAGTCAATATTTTCCTATGAGAGCAGTTCTTAAGTCAAAATGTTCTTAACTCAAGCCGTTCTTAAGTCAAGACTCCACTGTACTTCCTTTTTATACATGTTATGGTGGCAGTCTGGTAAAGTCTTGCCCACACAGAAGCAGTTTTCAGCAGCATTCACACATTGGTCATTATGTTTGATTTGGCCGTCAGGCCATCTGCTTTCTCCACCAATTTCTCTTCATTTTCTCCCCCCCCCATCTGTTCTGTCATCTTCCAGTGAGTCCTTCAAGTCCAGTCCTTGCTGATATCCCTACAGCCTCTTCCTTTCTCTAGTCCCTCCATGGTCTCCTCGTTTGAATCACATTTTTCGTGCCATGGTTCACATCCTGTTGCTTATCATAGTAAGTCACAACCATTGAATCAGTGGAATTTACAAAACAGTCAGTTTGCCAAATCTCCACCGATTCAATAGACAATGTACTATACTAAGCCACATTATTTCACACTAAGCCTTTGTTGTCTAGGCCATTTATTTTGTCTGCTTTAGGGATACCACACACCTCTGTTTCAAAAAATGTACAAAAACACACCTTTCTAAGGTAACTGTTGCTTAGCAAGTTGTTGCCTTAATATAACATAACTAGGTCTAGATGTTGGCAAAAGAGATGTAGCAGCAATGACTGCTGTTTTGTTGCTTGATTCAACTGACTGGACAGTTTTAGGACATTTTAGGACGTTCAGGAACTGAGAGGAGTGGTTAGTAAACCACAGAGGAATGAAATCCAGCCTAATGCCTTCACTAGTCGGTGAGCATGCTGACCGTGCTACTCCGTGCTTGGCTTGTAACTGAGACATTTGTGAAGTATGCAAAGGAGCCATTCCAGGCAAAGAAAAATACAGTACTTTGCACAATACAGAAAGAGAGACACATGTAGGAAATCCTATTTCCCCCCCCCCCTTGCGGTTTTACTCCTGCTCATTCTTATGTGCAAATAGCCATTCCAGGCAAAGAAAAATACTTTGCACAATAGAGAAAGAGAGACACACGTAGGAAATCCTATTCTCCCCCCTCCTTGCGGTTTTACTCCTGCTCATTCTTATCACTATATGGAGTAAAGAAAGAAGATGAGAAAAGTTTAGTTCAACCCTCAGATTGCTTGGACTTCTGTAGCAAGATCTTGTTTGTTGCTTGATGCATCAATTATATGCACTGAAGATTCTCAGGCTAAAAATATGAGCCGCATGTGACAGAAACTTGGCTTAAACCAAGTGTTATGATTGCACATACAGCTGAATTGTACTTAAGATCCACGTGGTGGAGTTGAGGAGCATCCAGTATGGTCACCAACAAAAACTATTGTGAATAACTGCTCCAGATTCAAAGTTTACAGGAAACTGAAAGTTCCCAGCGAAACTGCTCAGCTTCTGTCTCACCTTTTAAAAAAAATTGAGGATGGTAATCTCTCATAAAATAAGGAAGTTGCAATTACATGTCTTCTAGACTACTAGTACAGTATCTGTCTTGTCTCAATCAAATAGAAACTACACCTTTTTTAACAAAAGCGGTGGGTGTCACCAAAAGGTTTCATATATAATCATTATTTACACTGGCCAGTTTCGCCTTGTTAAGTCTAGGTGCATTCCCTTCCTTCCCCATTGTGAGTGGTGTAATATTCAGTGAAACGCAATTATCAAAAGCTGGTTGATAGCTGGCATACAAAATGCGTTCTCTTTTAGATTCTCTTTGAAGATGCATTTGATGTGGCAACTAGCTTCCTTGACAGAAACGAAACTCAAGAAATGTCCAGTCAAAGGTAATTGCCTCAGTCACATGGCCATTGTCTCCTAAGGGCTGCGTACATATTAGAGGAGAGAATGAGAGAGAGCCATATAGTGCTAGGGACTGAAGCATTCATTGATTATGATAGTTCAATATGTTCATTAGCAGAAAACTCTCTAATCAAGTGAAGATAACATGCTGTGACAAACAGACATCTTTACTGCTAGTGGAAGTATCCCTTCTAAAAATGTGATAAGCGCATTATCTAGTTTGCTACACTTTTAGATGAGGTAGTCCCTGAAATGGTGTCTGTTTGACATAACACATGAGTTTCCTCGACTGTCTGTCTTGTTGTGTTTCATTTTGTGATTGGTTACCAGAAGGTGAACATGGCCTTCATCTGCAAATCTGATTGCCAACACTGTATCTCTGAGATAGTTACGCTGTCTGAGAGAAGACAAGTAAACTGGAGGAACTACACATTCTGCTTAACCTCTAGTATGACCCTAAGAAACTGTCAGGTGCTGAACTGTAAATCTTCAGCACAGCTTCCATTAATTTAATTGTGGCTGCAAAGGAGAATTGTGCTCCATGGTTTCTATGTGTCTGTGTTTTAAATGGAACAGAATGTGTGGTTCTATGTTTGAAAAATTTAAAAATGGTTCTTGTGGGAAAAAAATGAAGTTTAATTAAATTGCAGATGAATTGCTGGTGAATAAAGGAATAAATGTTCTGGGTATGGCAGGAATAGGAGGAGCGAAGTGGTACCTTAACAATGATATCAGATAAATTGTTGTAACCATGGGCTGGATCCAGAGAATTGGGAATGAAAGCCACATTGCACATAGCAGTTACAGCGGGTTCGAGAAGTATCATATTTTGTGAGGTACAAATTATAGCATATAGAAATAGTACATCAAAGGGAAAAAATGCAAGCTCCTTGCAACAGCCTGAAGTGAGAGGATATGAAACTACATGTGATGCACAAGATTTTAATATTTGGTAGCAGTCTGTCTTTGCTTCACATGCATGACTTGTTACCAAGTAGGCTATTGAAATAAGGCCCTTTGGGCTTTGTAGTAGCCTTAAATTTCTTGCCAGTTTGACGTCATTCTTTTTCCATCTCAACAGATTAGCTGTTGTTACTACAGTAGTTACCTCAACCAGCTAACATACTTGTTTTTTGACAAATATGAATTGGTATATATACAAGCACTTTGTTTTGCCAACAATGATTGTACAGTGGCATGGACTGTGGACTTCTTTGAATGCCATGAGAGCAGAAACAAAGATCTTCTCTTAGGTTCACCTTGTCATGTCCATCCAACTGAGCGGAGGAGAGAGACTGCAACCCTTAATTCAAGCCAGAATGCCTACTCAGTTTTATTGAATAGCTCTAGAGCAGTGCTTCCCAGTCTTGGGTCCACATGTGTTCTTGGACTATGAATCCCAGAAATCCTGACCAGCAGAGGTAATGGTGAAGGCTTCTGGGAGTTTTAGTCCACGGACATCTTGGAACTCAAGGTTGTGAACCACTGCTCTACATCGCCCTCAGTGTGGCCTGTGGCCACAAGATTAATTCTACCTACAAAAAGAAACAAAAAGTACAGTAGTTTGTAAAATAAGGGAAAGGCCTCACATTCCCTTCACCAAAATTGGCAAGGAGAGCTTAGTATAGTTTCATCTTCTGTTTGTAGCTCAGCTTTCACAGGATGTGTTTCAGAAAGCCAAGAGGATAACCATCAACTCTACCTGCAGATCACCAACTTCTTGAAAAGCCTGTTTTTTGGTAGCATGCAGCCGCCACAGGTAGGAGTTTGGAATGCGTTTGTTTTATGGAAATCAGTCCTCCGTTTACAGAGTTTCTAGTGATATGTTAGGACCACTTAGTGTGTTGATGAAGGTAGGGGAGCTTTATCACAGGTCATTCCAGCACCACGTAGAAAAGACATGTAGATACTTCCTGAATAGGATTAATCTATACCACTGGGAAGATTCCATCCTGAAGTTGTTTTTAGAGCCTTGTTGGATATATTTCAGAGCTATAGTATATAGCAGAATGCAATAGTAAGTTTCAACCCACATTTGTCTATTTCTGTCAGACATCCTGTTAACTGTAACATGAAGTTATCCCTAAATGTTTCAGGGTACCAAGGGCATGTGTGGCCTGGGTTCTTCTTGTGGGAATATGTTCTCATATGAACCCCACAAAATTTATCACTGATCTGAGGTGTAGTCAGCTAATGTCATTTTATACAAATTGCAAACTCATTTTCCAGGTATGAATCTTTCAGTAGAAAAAAACAACACTACCTTTCAGTGCCATCTTTTTCAGCAGACACTCAGAAAATCAAAATGGCACCATCTGTGTGAAATAGGTATCAGAGGCAGGCTGGGGGGGGGGGCTGAATTATTCGCAGAAATGTTTAAAAATAAATTCTAGAGGGGGAAAAAGAGGGAATTCCTCCTCACCTACAAAGAGCACAATGATGACTGAGTAACCACCCCTCAACACAGAATAGTGAATTTGCTTATTTAAAGAGAAAAACAGAGGTCTGTGGGAAAGCGAGGGGATTGGAATCCCCATACTGTTTTCATACAATAATGCAAACCTCCCACTGCAATGTGGACTGAATGGAAGTGTCTCTTCAATACAGAAAGAAAGTGTGAGGCCCTGACACAGTTTGGAACCTAGAGTGAGAGATACATTGCTTCCTCTACCTGCTGTAGTCCCAATCCAGAGTGGGACTCAAGTGATTGACATTTATTGATAATAGCATTTATACACCATCCATCTAGTGGCAAGCCACTATTCTGGGCTGTTCACAACAAGTAAAAGAACTCCCAGCCACCCAGCCCCAACCAAAAGCAAACATATAATTCACTTTTTAGATGACAGAGACTTTGATTCCTTTCTCCACTTTTTTCAAAAACTGGATAGTCTGTTAAGTTTATACAAGACAAACATTGTGAATGTCAGTCTGTTTGCTCGAGAACTTTAGCATGTGCAGGATGGCAGCCATAGTTCAGTGTATTTCAAGTGTACATATTTTTTTAGACTCAACCTGGCTAATAAGATTGTAAAGTACTTCAGTGCCACACCCATTTATAAAAAGGTGGTTAACCAGAGCTAGCACCTGTTATGTGTTATCTATTATAATATACAAGTGCATTGTTTTTCACCTCTAGATAACTGTAATTGCTATCAGAAAATCAACCCTGTTGTCTACCTTCCCGCGGGGATTGTGTAGGCAGGTTTCAAAGAGGAGTGGAACAGGATGTAACTGGCCAATCTAGCCCTAGTAGGTGGAATCCATTTCAATGGTAGATATTTTTCCTGTGCTCCTTAGTTTCGGGACCAAACATCCTATTTTCCTGTGGAAGTGTTTCTTCAATACAGAAAGAGCTTGGAGAAGTTACTTTTTTGTAATACTACTCTTGCAATGACCCAATCAGTGTGAACATTTCAAAATTGTGCTGTAGATTGGTAGGAGTGTGATAGCTTCCAGTGGCTTACAGCTAGAAATCTGTTCTTTGTATTTTTTTTTTTGATTCACATCTGTGAAAATAGTTGGAATGACAACTATTAGTTTCTTGACCAGAACATCCCAATCTACTTGCATTTTGCTTTGTTCCTAAAACTTCTAGAGCAGTGGTTCTTAACCTTTTTGAAAGAAACGCCCCCTTGAGCCATTGAGGAAGTTATCATCGCCCCCCTCTTATTTCTTATTATATCTTATTTATTTGTTTGTTTGTTTGTTTAAGACACTTAAATCCAATGACCCCTGGAAAAAAAATTCAATTCCAAGAAAATGAAATGCCCCCCAAAAGTAACATTTAATGATTTCGTTGCAAGCGAATTTTAAGACTCAAAAAGAAATATAAAAAGGGCATAAAATGCAGGAACTAAAAATTTCAAGACGAAAACTCTGAAACTAAATTAAGATAGGAGGAAAATATATATTCATGCACACTGTAAAAAGGCTGCAGCCATCTTCACAGGTTTGGCTTGCTCCAGCACCCCCTACCGCCCCCCTTCTGCTCCAGCGCCCCCACGCCGCCCCTTTTCGTTCTACCGCCCCCCTGAAAAATGAAATCGCCCCCTGGGGGGCATTATCGCCCAGGTTAAGAACCACTGTTCTAGAGGGGAAAATCATCCAACTCAGGAGGCACTCAGTTTGCCACTCACAGTCAGATCCTGTTTATGGAAATAACTTATTTACTGTATTTTGATGGCGTTTGGGGCCATTATGACTGCAGTGTGCATAAAATAAGTGCAACACAAATGAGAAGTGAGGTTCTGAAGTTGGCAATGCATTCTGAAAGAATGCCCAGTATCCACTAACAGTTTGTGTTAGGCTCCACCCGCAGCCATAGACCTCTGTGACCTAGCAGTACATTTTGAATGCTTGCCCACTAGCTTAAATAACAAAGACAGCTCTGTGGACATACAGAAGTGTACATGCTAGGCTTACAGTTGAAGCAAGAGGGCTCAAATTGGCATTTTGGAGCGTCCAGAAAGAGGAAAAAGCTGGGCACTTTTCACCATTCACGTATAATGAATAGGGATCCCTCTGTACATTAGTTTTTCCTATGCACATTAAAATGGGCCACTACGGAAGTTGTAAGACTAAAAAAACAAAAAGAGACAATAAATCGACTCACCAGTTTGTCTCATATTGTTTGGAAAGGCACAAGCTATGTAGAATATTTTTTAAAAAAAAATTTACTTTGAAAAATAACAACAAAAAACTGTACTTTAAACAATACATAATAACAACAACATAAAACAAATTCATAGTGTAGCCCACAACCCTCGGGATTCCCACCCCACCCCAATTTTTAATTAACAACTTATTTTATTTTAAATTCTGTACCCTGTATCTTTCCAGAAATATAATGACTCCTGTGTCAGGAATTTAACCCTTATGTTTACTTTCCAAATTTCATTAAAACAACTTTCTTTTAATATTCCTTTTTAAAGTTTCAATTCACTGGTTAATTTATCATTAATAGCCAAATTCCCCACTTCATTTACTAATCCTCCATATCAAACTGGTCATTATTCTTCCGATTTCTTGCAAATATCAGTTTTGCTGCTGTTAATATTACTTAATTCCATCCCCTCTTTTAATTGAATTGAATGTTTCTAGACATATTTAACAAAGCTAATATTGGACTTCTTTGTATATCAGTCCCCATGATTTCCTTAGTCTCATTAAAGACAGTTCACCATTCTTTCTGTCCCTGTTCACATGTCCACCACATATGTTTCCCTTTCTTTCTTACATCTCCAACATACAAGTGATACCTCTTTATTCATTATACAGTATTCATTTTTGTTGGGGTGTTAAATACTATCTCCATATTGTAACAATTTTCCTTTACCCTACTAGACATATTTTTATTAGTCTGTCTCCCCATATCTTCTTCCAGATTTCCTCACTAATTTCTCTGTTTAGATCTCCTTCAAGCTGTGCACCATCCTTGTTCTCTTTGAAAATGGTGTCTAGCAGTATCTTATCTACATTTTTCCATGTAAAAGTAGTCTCCTGCTTCTACTGCAAGAATGAAGATTTGTCTTATATCCATCGTTTCTCAAGCCATGGGATGGATTATGTAAGACCCGCTTAAAAATGCACTAGTTAAACTATGGGACTGATTAATCTGCAGGTTGATGACTGAGATTATAAAGCCTAGTCCGACTCACCCATCAGAGTAAAACAAAGATTCTTCAGCTTTTAGTTGGGCATGAATAACAGGTTTCCAGTTGACAGCTATTGGGGTGGACAATAAAGAAGTAGTTGAACTTGTTTACAGATTTAAAAAAAAAATCCCAGCAGCAGTTTCTTTTAAGATAATCACAGCATTATATACCTCAGCAATGTACAGGCATAAATGGTACAGCCTAGGATGGTTTTGGTTTCAGCCGCAGCTTTGGCTTTGCTAATAATATCCTGCCCATTAAACACTTCACCTCAGCCTGGTTTCTAAGGAAAATGTGTAGATATAAACTTTTCATGACTAGGTATATGTGTGAAAATGTTATACTACATCTGTGAGCAACATAAGGGAGGAACAATGGTACCGAAACCAATAATCACCTCAGAAACAGAGAGCCCAGTTTTTTTACAGCGCTGAAAAACTACAATTATGGAAGATATAATAGCTGTGACTCAAGAAGGGAGACCTACACATAGAATCCATTTAGGGCCACTGGTTGTTATGTACAGCTATAGCAAGCTCATCTAGCTGGATAGCTCAGTGGGTTAGAGACCTTGCTGCAGAGCCAGAGGTTGGGAGTTCAATTCCCCGCTGTGCCTCTTTGTGAGGACAGCCACCCTGTTTGGTTTGGGGCAAGGTGCAGAGTCCCAACGAGCCTCCAGAAGAAGGGAATGATAACCACTTCTGAGTATTCTCTAGAAAACCCTAGAAAGGATCGCCATAAGCCAGACTTGATGACACACAATTATTATTATAGCAGGCTAGAAAACCTTTTTCTTTCCAGAGTTTTGGAACTTCAGCTCCCTGCCAGCACAACCAATATTAAAGGGTTATGTGATTTGTAGTACAAAACATCTGAGGGACAAAAAAAGTAGTTGTTTTAGTCTGTTTTCGTGTGTTGACCAAAATTAAAGGAAAAACTCAAATGACCAAAATATTGTGGCGCCTCAAAAACTAACATACATTTTGCCAGCATGAGATCCAAAAGGTTCCCATTAGAGATGGGGGTATTTGAATACGAATACCCCTGCACAGCTGAATGTAACGTGAGTCCTGCCAGACTGTCCACTCATGCATCCGCTGCTGCCACTGGTTCTGCTCTCCCTTCCAAGGTATTTGAATACGGATACCCCCACACAGCTGAATGTAACGCGAGTCCTGCCAGACTATCCACTCATGCATCCACTGCTGCCACTGGTTCTGCTCTCCCTTCCATTCGCTCTGGAGCTCGCGGTTGGCTATCCGTTCATCAGTCTGGCAGGGACGCTTGTCTTCCCTCCTTCTTCCAGGAATGGCTAGCTGACCACAAGCTCCAGAGCGATTGGAAGGGGTCAGCCTGGCAGGGACACTTGTCTTCCCTCCTTCTGCCAGGAATGGCTAGCTGACCACAAGCTCCAGAGCGATTGGAAGGGAAAGCGAGCCACCGCCGGCAACAGACACGTGAGTGCCCCCCCCTCGTTACGTCTAGCTCTAGTTCCCATTATTGAGCTAGAGCATGGAAACGAGCCACCGCCGGCAACAGACATGTGAGTGCCCCCCCCCCTCGTTACGTCTAGTTCTAGTTCCCATTATTGAGCTAGAGCATGGTGTAGCATAGAGTGAATTTATGGAAGCTGATATGATAACCACTAACACAAAGGTATTTAAAAAGAATCATATACATTAATGAATGACTATCTAAGATTCCTCTGTTAAACATTGGGGGCTTTTTGCCAGTATTTAAGTGACTAGGATTTGATATGAATTGCTCAATTAAACAGATGTTTGCTTTAATCCCATAAGGCAGTTCTAAACTTCTTAACTTTTCAGATGGACTAAATATGAAAATGTTGTTTCTCGTAATTTTTCCCCTCCAGATCCCGGTATTGTGATAGGAAACATTGGGATCTAGAAAAAAAGATAGGGATATCAAGGGGACCAAGGGATGCAACTTTGTCTGGAGAAAGAATCTGTAAAACATGGGTCATTTATATTTTATTGCTGGAAAAAGGAAATTCCTTAAAGGCTTATTGTGTGTGATAGTCTCAGCAGAAGATTCCAATCTGGGCAGATTGCACGCCTGCAACCCTACTTAGACAGAAAGTCACTGATAACACTGGTTCACTTGTTGGTAATTTCAAAGATAGACCATTGAGATCCTGTCTACATGGGGCTGCCCTTGAAGGTGATATGGAGTTTCAGGAGATGCGCAGCCTGGCCAGGTAGGTCTCGGGGACTTCAAGATACAATCCTATTTCTCTGGTACTGGCTTGCGTGCACTAGCTGCCTGTATATGTCTGTCTCAATTCAAGGTACTAATGTTGACATATTAAGCCCTGAATTGTTTGGGACATTGTTACCTGTTGAAGCACCTCTCCCTTTAAAAAGCATCTTCTCAGTGGTGACCACCTCTCTGTGGAACACTTTATCTGTGGAGGTGTGCCAAGGCCCGACCCTCCTAATATTTAGAAAGCATATAAAAACTTTGCTTTTCAAAGACGCATTTAAAGACATCCTCCCTTTGTAATTGTTTTTTACATTTTATTCTTATATGTTAATTTTTTTTGTCTGTGGCTGCCCTCTTGTGCTCTCAGTGATTTGTTCTTTTTATATTATGGTGAAGTTGGGGATGATGGCTGTTCTCTTTTATGTTTTATAGGCTCATTGGAAACCACCCAGAGTAGTACTAGATGGTGCAGTATAGAAAACAAACAAAACATTTTCTCATCTCTGTAATTTAAAAATTAGATTGTTTGGTTGTTGTTGTTGTTATCTTCAGGTCACAAATAATTTAAAAATTAGATTGTGTTGTTGTTGTTGTTGTTGTTGTTATCTTCAGGTCACAAGCCCATTCTTCCTTTGTAAATCTGGTTTCTCAGACAGGAAGGACTGCCTTCCTCCACATAGTTTGGCTCTAAGCTAAGAAATACGATTGTAATTCCTTCGATCCAGGATGAAAAATAGGTTGCTTCTTAGTTGTTGTGGAACTGGAACTCCTGTCAGACTTGACCGACATAACTAATGGGTTGGGAATGATGCAAAATGAGATTTGTCACACTGGGTGGGTCACAACGTCCTCAGCACTGCTCTAGAGATTTTCCAAGAGATGAATCTTTAGCAGAAACTGGCCATACATTTTTTAAAAAATTTCTTCATACTAGTGAAATCTGGACAAGGCCAATCCAAGACCTGAAGTGAAGGACCAGATTTATTTATTTTCTTTTACAATTATATTCTGCCTTTCAATAAGCTCCGGCCAGTAAACATCACTCTCCTCCCCCTGTTTTATTTATTGACTTAAAATATTTTTGCCCTGCCTTTTTCCTAAAAAAAGGGACCCAGTGTGGCTTATCCTCAGAAACCTCCTGTGAGGTATGAGTTTTACGGCTGAGTGTGAGTGGGAATTTGAATTCAGGCTTCCTGATTTGTAATCCAGCCATTAAATCACTCTTGCTCTCAGTTATAATGGACTATAATTACAGTGTTCTGTCAGATTCCTGAAGCTCTGTTGATCCCGATTGACAGTTATATTCTGTTTCAATTGACAGTTACAGGCTGCTGGCTATCAAACAGTATTTTGCCCTGCGACAGGCTAGCATAGGGGGTTGAGGGTGAGCCATCGTGTACACAGATTTAGTCCCAGAGATGACTGCCTCAATCTACTGATACAAGTTTAGCTCAGTTGTTCCTGGAATCATCAGGACATCAATAAAGGAGAGGCTAGCTCTACCCACCTCTTTGGTTGCTTTGCAAGTGAAAAGAAGGGGCCCTGTTTGCATGTAGATTTTACCTTTGAGCAAGAATCCAAGTGTTCCAGGTTTTCTTACTCAAGCGTATAGCCTACATGGGATCAGGATCTCCTGGAGACTAAGCACGGTTGGCATGAGCGAAACAAGGAGAAGGGCAGAGCTGGCTTCTCCCCTGTAAGGGTGTTGTTGAGTCTAGATTTCGGAACAACTGACTGAGGCTGTAGACACCCCTGAATCTATATATTGCGGTTATTCCAAAATAATAAAGCAAAGTGGCATATTAGGTAGATTAGCAGAGATTTTGATTTATAGTGACCAGGCGTAGCATTGTTGTATGTACAGAATTTCCAACTCACCCTCCCCATTTGCCCAACCTGCATTTGGTGATTTGGGGGGGGGGGGAATGATATAAATGTTGGCTGCTTTAAATGAAATAAGCAGCTAAGCAAATAGATACAGTAAATGCTTCATCACACAGGTGCTGAGTCATATTAACTGGCCTTCAGAAGTCAGCATTCTAAAGAGGTTGTTAAGATTTTTAACTGATAACAGGATTCAAGGCTTCTGATCAAAAGGCACAGAAATCACAGCGTTCCAGGCAGTGAGCCATAGGCAGGCTTAAAAGGTGACTGCTCATGCAGACAGATTTCTTTTAGCTGTTTGGTTCTGTGTGGGTTTTTTTGTTGTGGTTTTGCTGGAACAAAAAAGAGAAGAAATACAGTCCTTGCTATTTCTTTACATTCCCCCCCCCCATTGGACAGGGCATAGGACTGGAGGCAGTGGAAGATAGGAGGGCCTGGTGTGCTCTGGTCCATGGGGTCACAAAGAGTCGGACACGACTAAATGACAACGACGATGAGGAGTGTGTTACAGAAGAGCACGTATTAAGATGGCAAAGTGAAATCTCTGTCTCTGCGTCCCCCTGTAGACTTTAACCATTGTTGTGCTTAAACTCATTAAGTATCATGGATTATGCACAGTCGTAGTGAACCATGGCCAAAGACTTAGGAGATATACAGTATTTTAGTGTGGAATCTATCCCTATTAGACTACCTTGAAAATGTTTTTCCTTGTCTTACACATGATACTGGGCAAGGGTTTTTGACACCTTGATTTCAATGTGGTAGGGCTGCTTGGGCTGAGATAGATAACATTCTGTGTCCAGTCTATGAGCCATCTCCTAGTATGAAAACAATATAGTGGGATAACATTCATTCATTTATTTGTTTAGCCTCTGCCAGGATGTCCCCATGTGTTTTTAATGTGAAAAAATGAAAGTCACTTGGCTTCAACTCTGGCAGCACATGAAAAAGGGACCACGGGTTTGTTCATTAACCTATCTTAATGGAGGTACGATTCTGCCCCCCCTCCCCCTTTGTGTCCTTTAGGAAGAAGTACTCCAGTTAGATTATGAGACCGTGATGCTGAGATGCACAGAGACATTTGATGATGAAGATTTGTAAATTAAAATATTTCATTAAGTGGAAAAACTGTAATTGTTGCTTAATGGTATTTGTTTCTCCCACCTTTCCCAGCACCATCAGCAGAGGGGAGAGGAGATACTGCACCAATTCCTACTGCATGCATCATGTTTAAAATAGTTTTGTTAATGTTGACTTCAAAGTTTTTAATCAGTTAAATTATTTGTACTTTTACATGCATTACAACTTGATATTTATAAAGTTTTTAAAATGTACACCTGCTGTTTGATGCTGATTATGGTAAAACAACACATTATGAAGAAATATTCCTAGTTCTGCTTGTATTGTGTTGTAATTGTAGTGTTTCATAATTTCTATTACCATCAAGAGCCAAAAGTAGATGTGATACAGCAGATTCAATTTTGTAAACCCAGACCTCCTCCATAACATATTTCACAGTCGGGGGGTGGGAACGACAACCATGTGTACGACGGACTGTTTTGCATTTCATGAAACAAAAAAAAGATAATACTGTAATAATCTTAGAATTAGATTTGGTGAGCCACCTCCTCTGTAAGTAATTGTGAGTTGTAACTAGAGTAGGTCCATTTGACTCAATGGGCCTTATTAGGATTTTTATTATGTTTTGAGAAACTCACTTCAAATAATCTTTGCCTGACTACATTATTTTACTTTAAATCCTGACATACATAATTGAAAGCCTGTGAATAATGTTGAGATTGGTGCTTTGTAGGTAGGTCCAGACTAAAAGATAGCAAAACCCATCAACCTGTTACTAATGCCATTGGTTTTTTTTCCTTTTTCTTTTTCTGTTTTCAGGCCCGGGCATTTCTCACCTGGATAAACTCTAGAATATTTTCCTTAACAAGGTTTACATTCATGTGTGGATGGGTAGTTTAGATCAGTTATCTAACTCATATGTGTTAGAGAGCCAAACTCCTTAACCAGAAGTTAAAGAGGCTAATGAAAGTGTGAGGTTTGGGAGGGGACAGTGTCACAATGACTAGGTTCTGAAAATACCAAAGCCTGTTCAGTGCCAGTGTGCTGCCTTTAAACATTGCCTAAAACCAGTTCACCATTGCAACCACTGCAGCCTGTTCCCAGGTCCCCACACTTAGTAGAAGTCTACTTTCTGCTATCTGAGCTCCTTTTCTCCTATTTTACCTTCCAAAACCTCTCCTTTCCAATCATGCCAGCCCAAACATGTGTCATCCAAGACTTCTCCCATCAGTGGCCACAGCCTGCGGTGCACCATCCATGCACACGTTCTTCTATGGCTGTAAATAGTGACTGGCTGCACATTCTGCATTCTCTCTGTTGCACTGCACCCATTGCATTCACCTGTTACTTGTTGATCCGCTCACAGCTGGTTTTAAAAGGAAAGTTCACTGCTGGTTTTAAAAGGAAAGTGAGGGGCACAAAGATCAGATGCTATGACAGGTATTAGCCACTATTTAGTGACTAAGTTCCTACTAAGATAACCTTTGATGTCTGGAGGATAGTTCATTAGCACTGCAATCTTCTACACACTCATATATAAATAAATCTAAGTTAGTCTGTTGGGTTGTATTCCCTGTTACATGGCAATCCACTTGGAGCCAAACTCATGGGTCTTGAGACATGATACAAGTACCATTAGTTATACTGGTGATCCTAGAGAGCATTTGAAAATGCTTGGGCACTGTTTTTGACAGTAATGCTTTTTTATGCATTACTTAAGAGATTTAGGTCTGTTTTTTTAATTATTACAAATTAAATGAAAATGCTTGGGCACTGTTTTTGACAGTAATGCTTTTTTATGCATTACTTAAGAGATTTAGGTCTGTTTTTTTAATTATTACAAATTAAATGTGTCATTGGTGTTGAATTAAGTAAGGATCATTAGGTTTTTCCAATGCATCTTATTTTGCCTCAAGAGGAAATAAATAGAAATGTCATTAGATTTTTTAATAATCTAAATTAAGACAATGGATGCTTTAGTTCAGTGGTTCTTAACCTTGGGTTACTCAGGTGTTTTTGAACTGCAACTCCCAGAAACCCCAGCCAGCACAGCTGGTGGTGAAGGCTTCTGGGAGCTGCAGTCCAAAAACACCTGAGTAACCCAAGGTTAAGAACCACTGCTTTAGTTCACTGGGCTGGAACCAGTCATCAGGGGGTTAGGAGTTTTGGTAAGAGCCCGAGATAGATCTGGCAAATACACACACACACACACAATTTCCTCTAGGCTGAACCCTTAATTTTTATCCCATTGGTCTACAGAGCAAGATAAAACAATGAAATAGCAGCATAGAGCACAGAAGTAAATCAACAGTGATTTGAAAGAAGGAGTCAAGAAGGATGTGTGAAGAGCAAAAGTTTTTAAGTGGAATAAAATAGTTTCAAAGCTCATCTAAAAGCAGACAACTAAGAAGACTGGGTAAAACTCTCGCAGATCACTCCTCAAACTGGTTGCCACCACAAAAAGGCCATATTTGTTGAACTTGCTTGCCACAAATCTGGGTAGCAAGGGGACAGGGATGCTGACAGAGTGAATGTCAGTTCTGTTTGCGTTGAAAAGGAAACTTTGGCAGTTTGTTGAGATGCTAGGCATTGCTTTACGGATGGCAGGAAATGTAAAAAAATGTACATTAATGCTCACAATTTAAAGGGTTACCTATAAAGTTGCCTTTACTGTTTCAAGTTAATAACACTTATTCATTAATTAAGTAGGTCTAGTGGAGGATTTCACACTCTTAAGAGGTAATAATCATGAGCTAATAATTCATGAGAAGACCAACAAAGACAAAAGACAGTCCATAGTGAGGCTGTAGTTGCATTCCAATGATTTGAATGGGACTTTCCTAGCAAAGCGCCAGGCAGGATACTATGGTCGGTTCAAAAAAGAGGTGTTCCAGGAGATAAGAATGTTAACATGTCTTTATGTTCATGGCATTGTTCTCTGAATTGACTGATATTTCCTATGTCATTGATCACGGGGAGGCTAGTTGAGCTGAGCGAAGAACAGTGTTTATTCAGAAACCATTTGGGGTACGCAGGCATTCCTCTTAAATACTTGAAAGAACTCTGAAGAAATCTATATGGTTTTTATATTCTCATCCTCATGTTCATCACTCACTTGCTTAATCACTGCAGGAGACTGGCTTGCCTAATTGACATCATAGCTTAAAATGATGCTTCAGAGACATGGAGCATAATTCTCTGTTACAGTAATGGGACTTATGGTCTCCCAAGTATTTTTAACAGTACAGTGTTTATTTTTTATGGGAATGTTAGCCATACAAAATACCAAATCCACATTGTAAAAATATGGGTTTAATCACATGCTGAAAGTGAAATTAGAAGCACTTGCTGAGGGGGGCAGAGATAACGAATGCAGATTATCCATTTTGGATATGTGCACCATTGTGATGTACGTTAAACCAGACTAGCCACAAAGTAAAAAAAACACCTCCCAATTAAATCTATTACTTTGATAATCAAACCTGTATATGTTTGCATAAAGACAACACAAAGGCTGAAATCTTGTTGCATTTCTATGCAAAAGCATAACTTTTAGAGGCCAAGTGGCTCAAATTAAGAAATCTCCATAGATATTATCTGTTGCATACAGAGTTACACATATTGGTATACAACAGATAATGTCTACAGAGGTCTGTTAGGACAATGCAGTGCAAAAAGTTAATGCTATTTGCATAGCAGCTGACCAGGATTTCTGCCAATAGTTCTGGGGGGAAAATGCATTCACCTTTTAGATCAGGAATAACAGATGTGGCTGTTCAGACATTGTTGGCCTATACTGCCCATCAATCCTGGCTGTCATAGCCAATAACAGGAAGGTACTGGCACTAGAGTGCAAAAACATCTGGAAGGCTACAGTTGACCAACCCAGCTTTAAAATCACTCATTCCCACATCTTGGGACCATGATGTTTTGGACTGTAAATTCCAGAGGTCGTGGCAGAAGTGGCCTCCACTTTTGGGGAATGACGATGGTACAGCATTGTCTTTTGTCCAAGAGAGAGGAAGAATGTCTCTCCAAAATTGTATTTGGTACCCAAGTTTTAGGAAAAATACTTTCCTTAAAAATTAATACTTGTTGCTTTAAAATTTGCTCTTTGAATAAGAAATCGATCAAAAGAAACTGATTTCATAAAGCACTTAATCATCTAAACTTTGCAACTCCATGAAGATATGCCTCCCATTCCTTATAAACCATTAGCTCCCAGTAGGGGAGGAAAAGGGTCATGCAGAACACACATTATATAGGTCTTAGCTGAATAAGTTGCTTCTTTAGAAGCAATTAAGCTCCTACTTGTGGAAGGACCATATGTGAAAACCTCCTCTACACACATTTGTGTTCACATGCACAACTGTGTTATCAACTGAACAAATAATGAGCTGGCTAGCAGGTGAATGAAGGCCAAGAAACCAGTATAGAAAGAACGCCAAAAGAAAATTTAAAACTTTTAAACAGATGTCTCTTTTGTAGTCGCCTAAGACTTTTAGAATTTGCAGAGGGATAGACTGAGATAAAGTCAACAGAAAAGTCTAAAGTGAACTCTGAGCATGCCAGAAAGATTACATATTTGAGGTATATCCTGAGTGAAGAAGGGCTTTTATTCTTTGCTTAGGAGAACATTGGATAGACAATAGCCCTGTCCTTCAGAGTTTCCAGTAGGCATTCATATTGCATAGAAAAGTCATTATAGGAGTTGTTGAGAGTCACACTTGGCCATCTAAAATTTTAAAAAAGAAACTAAATGCCCAAGACTTAGCATACCAAAGTTAATGGCCATGTTCACATATAATATTGAGTAGACTTCCGGCTTTACCATTCATAAGGAAATGTAGTAGTGGTCAAAGCAACTCCCATTTGTCTCCTGCAAAAAGCATCTAAATTTACCAGGAACTTCAGGCAGAAAAAAAAAATTTGGATTGCATCTACTCATTCCTGTTACAAGCCTGGACCCAGAAACTGACTTCAAACTCTTATGTTAGTAAAGAAGCAACAAAGCAGGAGCTCTGGTTTGGTCACAACGCTAAGCTTTTCTGCCCTGAGAAGTTCCTGGCTAGTTTAGCCACTCTTTCTTGCAAGAGGATTCAAGCAAGAATAGTCAAAACATCAGTACATGTTTCATGTAGAACATATATGCATAACATTTGTTCTGTCTGGCTATTTACATATGCCTTCTAGCTTTTATGAAGCCCGAAAGCAGCTTAAAGCTAACAATTCCATATTATAGATTTATTTTTAATTCCACAGTTTCATTCAAAAGCTTGGCACAGCAAATAAACGAGACTTTTAAAGAATTAGTATGTTGCAGTCCGGCTGAGGCAGTCATTGAGGCTGGATCTGGTGAGACCTAGGGCAGTAGTTTAACTCCTTTGGACTAGCTTTTCCAGTTCCAGTACTCTACTATTCAACCAGATTTTGCAGACAACAGCTTTCCATGGTAGAGAATACATTCTTCATGAGCGCCACTGAACTCTCTATCCTCTTGCTAGGCTGTTCCTCAAAGTGGGGACTGTATTCATGCTATAAATAAATGTTCACACAAGCTCATGCTGAACCAGTTACTGCTTCAACCAGTCATGACATGAAAATTGGCAGAAAAGAAGATAAAGGTTCTTTTAATTGGCTTCGTAAACCAAGTTTATCTGTGGTTGTGGTCTTTTATATCCTTGTGTCCACATTCATTTCTGTGTTTCTTTCCGAACTTATGTTGTGATTGCTGTTCTGTCCATAACTATTGTGTTTCCTTGCACTGGGATGAGCTGGCCGTTTGGGGCACATGGGCAGGTAACGAAACCAGTTAGCAGCACAGAACTTGGAACCTATTCCAAAGGGTAGGTCATAGATGTCTGAAATATCCATGGTATCATCAGATTCCTCCTTAAAACCTTCTTTCCATGCCACAATTCCCCGTTCTTCCTTGCTCCCTGTCAAGGGGGGGGGGAGAGAAAGAGAGTTTAGCAAGGTCCCACAAAGAGATTAATTGGTCATTAATTAATTAATTCATGATAGCTTACAGTATTTAAAAGAAATAAAGTTAAAACCCAAATAATAAATTATTACAATATTTAAAAAGCTTCAAACAACTACATTAAAATTCTTAATAAGAACAATATTAAAAACACAAGTGAAAGACAGAATAAAATGCTCCCTTAAAAATCCACTTGGTCAACCAGCCATTTAAAGGAAAGCCTGTTTGAAGAGAAAGGTCTTCGGCTGCTTGCAGAAAGCAGGCAGCAGTCTGGCTTCCTGTGGGAGGGAGTTCCAAAGTCTGGGACCAGCAACAGAGAAGGGCCTCTCTTGTGTCCTCATCAAATGCACCTGTGAAAGTGGTGGGACTGAAAGGCCTCTTTGTATTATCTTAACACTTCAGGAGGCTCCTAATGGGAGATGTGGTCCTTGAGATAGCTTGGACCTAAGCCATTTAGGGTTTTATAGGTTAGAAGAAGGGCTTTTAATTGTGCCAGGAAAGGAATTGGAAGCCAGTGGAGCCACTGTAATGGGGTTATGTGATCCCTGTAACCAGCCCTACCAGCATTTTAGTTTTGTTTTTTTTAAAGGCACCTCATTGAGACCTGTTCTACAAGGCTCTGTGACTTGTAATGGGAGCCAGAAGCAGCCTTATCTGTACTACTGCAAAAGTCAGCCATACTTGCAAGCCTACAGGGAAGACAGCTAGACAATTATTGTAAGTCCTACCTGGGATGGTGTTATCAAAGAGAAAGCCTAGGAATCCCCCAACAAACATGCCTGTAGTTAGCAGCACCTGGATCACTTGGTCTAGCTGTGTAATTCCTAGAAATAGAATCATTGGTCAAATAAACATCAGAACACAAGGCAGTCACACCACCATCACCAAATCTCTGATTCCAAGAGGGGAGCCATTTCGAGTAGCCACTACAAGTCACCCCATTACTTTTAGCTCATACTAAAATAATTCTAATATGAGTAATACAGAATGGTCTTGGACCGAAACAAAAGGATGCCTTAAGGCCAGTGTCTTAAGTACTGTCCAGACTTTTGTGTACATTTTTCCATACCCAGTGTTTTCATAAACACAAAAGGAACATGAGATTATCAGATTGCCTTAGTGAGTCAAGCCAATGGGTTATGAAGCCCAGTCTTTTATTAGAAAGTATTATGAACTGGGCACACAGTGGAAGAAAGCACCTGAACTTTATTTAATATTTTATTTATTTATTTAATTTATGTCCAGACTTTTGTGTACATTTTTCCATACCCAGTGTTTTCATAAACACAAAAGGAACATGAGATTATCAGATTGCCTTAGTGAGTCAAGCCAATGGGTTATGAAGCCCAGTCTTTTATTAGAAAGTATTATGAACTGGGCACACAGTGGAAGAAAGCACCTGAACTTTATTTAATATTTTATTTATTTATTTAATTTATATCCTGCCCCTATTTAATATTTTTTTTATTTATTTAATTTATATCCCACCCATCTAGACCGAAGTCTACTCTGGGTGTCTAACAGCATACTTATACTTATCCCATTTTCTCCAGTCCATAAACATGGGAGCATCTAGCCTTTCCTTCTTGGTTCTTTGCTTTCCCCACATGGAGAGTGATGTGCCTGTAGAAGATCCCGTTCATGTGCAAGCTCTCCACACAAGCAAGAACCCTGGAAATTGCACAGTTCTTGCTCCTATGGACATCCTACACATGATTAGGAACCTCTTTTCTGCACTCATATTGTTCCCTACATGGTGAAAGCTACAAGGGGGGTTGTGTACTCCTCTGCTCATATATTGGACAGAACTCAGTAAGTAACAACTGAGTAGGGCTCTGGGCACCTTTAATAGCAATTATCTACCTAGATTCACACAGTCCATCTTCAGCTCTGTTCAGTGATACCAACAGAAACAATATTGTATTCGCGAAGGCTTTCACGGCCGGGATCTAATGGTTGTTGTGGGTTTTTCGGGCTTCTTGGCCGTGTTCTGAAAGTGGTTCTTCCTAACGTTTCGCCAGTCTCTGTGGCTGGCATCTTCAGAGGACAGCAAACTGTGCTCTGGGTAGGCTTGAGAGTGGGTGGAAGAACCACTTTCAGAACACGGCCAAGAAGCCCAAAAAACCCACAACAACCAGAAACAATATTCAGGCATTGAAATGTGTTTGTATCTGCTAAAAAGATGGTGTGCATGGAGCATCAGAAGGGTATATGGAGCAGTTTCACTGGGGATTTCAAGACTAAAATTATGTTTTGCAAAAATCAAGGTTCAGCTACATCTTTGTAGGAACAATGTATCTGTTAATAGGTACTCATTCAACCCAGTTGTTTCCATCAGAAGGGGAAAGTCCAGCCCTTTCGTCATTGCTTTCTCCACACGGAGAGCAACAAGTTTGAAGGAAAGAGGTTCCTGCTCAAGTGTAGGTTCTCTACATAAGCAAGAACTCTAGAAAGCCACGCTTATGTATTTGGCAGAACTGGGCACATAACATATGAATATAGGCTATAGGGTAGATAGAAAGTTACTAATAGGAACCGCACTCCTCTTTTTAGTGAGTTACATTGTAATTACTTTGCTTTAGATGGAAGTAGTAAACAAAAAAATGGTCTCCTCATGTACCTGTTTCCAGTATTTCTGCATTGTTCTGTACCCAATGAGGAACTGTCAAACCCGCAAATATAGAAAATCCAAAGATGAATAGATTTCTTGAAGAGTTCATGTCTGTATACTGAATAAATAGGGAGTGTTATTTACAGTTCCAAACAGTAGACTTATTATTTGGAAAACCAGTTAAATAGAATTGTGATGGTTTGTCTCTGTATATACGTACATTATACAAATGGTTTTAGGGTACAATAATATACAAAACATTCTGTACAAATACAATAGTATTATGAAGTGTGACTTGCACAATAAAGGACATGGTGGACAAGAGATGGCCAAAGAGCCATGCATAGCCTTTGAATCCCTGTTGTGAGGGGGGAGCAGCCACTGTTGTGTTTACTTCTGCCAAGCCCAAATTGCACTACAACTTGTCAAAAGCATTCTCTTCCTTTTCCCCTCTTCTAACACAGCCTTGCGAAACTATTCCACAGTCTCTATGGTACAAGAGAATACTTGACACTCTCCAACAGCACTGAGTTGTGACAGCTGCTTCTGAATTTTGCTGGCAACTACAACTTCAGCAGCAGTGGCAGCAGTGGGGAGAGTAGAGTCTCTCCGGATTATAGGGCAGCCAATGTTCAAACCAAATAATTTGTTGTAATGATGTTGACTAATGGCAATATTTAATAGGTGTATATATTTTTGTGCTCCATGCACATTTTGAGTTTTTACAATATTGACCTCAAAAAGAGTTGCTTTTTGAGTTCAAATATAATTCCTCATGGCATCAGGAACCCAAGCCTCCCTTCTGCCTTTATCAGTTTTCAAGCAATACATAAAAGATTTACAATAGGCAGCTAGGATCTTCATATGTAGCCATCTTATCAGTGCTATCAGTGTGCTAATTAACAGAGAATTGTGAGCAGTCATCAGCATTGCAAAGTGCATCAACCACACATAACAGGAGGAGCTACTTATTACATGTGGGTATCTGTCTGTAATCGTCACTTATGAACTCGGCTGAATCTCAGTTTGCACTGTTAGGGCATTTCTTAGCTACCTCAAATTATTAGGACACTTCTTAGCCAACTCAGATTATTATGCAAAGGTATCTTGCATTTTAATCTACCCCACGGATTATATTTAAGTGAGGAATGAGGTCACATTTAATAAATACTCAAATCTAGTTTTTACTGTTGGGGTTTGGTTGTTTGCAAAGGAAATGCTCACAAGCCAAATCATTCTCCTTCACCCAGGCGAGGCCCAATTCATTTTGTCTCCTGAGCACTCAGGCTCCACTCCCCTATTCAAAAGCCAAACAAACTGCCCGCCAAATCTTTACTTAACCATGGGGACCTGGCCAGCATAGTGCAGCACGCTAGGGATGGGATTCCCAAATTTCCTGGGCTACAAATATCATATTTTCCATTCTGGGATTTCTAGCTATATTACAGATAAGCTGCCAAAGCTTCTTGTTTCTGTCCCAGAGCTAGCTGGGAGCTTTCTACCTGAGCAGGAAGCTTGAGTGGAGTTCTGCCTAGCTAAGCTTCAAAGCCTTCTGATTTAGGCCTTTCTCACAGTTACCTCATATTTAGGTGTCTGCAAGCTAGCTATGTGCTGGCGCTGTGGGTTAAACCGCAGAAGCCTGTGCTGCAGGGCCAGAAGACCAGCAGTCGTAAGATCAAATCCACGCAACGGAGTGAGCTCCCATTGCGTGTCCCAGCTCCTGCCAACCTAGCAAAAGCATGTAAATGCAAGTAGATAAATAGGGACCACTTCGGTGGGAAGGTAACCGCGTTCCGTGTCTAGTCATGCTGGCCACGTGACCACAGAAATTGTTTACAGACAAATGCTGACTCTACGGCTTGGAAACGGGGATGAGCACCACGCCTTAGAGTCAGACACGACTGGACTAAATGTCAAGAGGAACCTTTACCTAAGCTAGCTGAAACTCCCAGAATGGAAAATAATGGTATTTGTAGTCCAGAGAATACAGCACACTTTAGTGTAGTCTGTGGCTGCCAGGTAGCCAATAGTACATATGCAGCTTTGTCCTTCAGCATTGCAACTCTGCATCCCACTGACTGCCAACATCTGTCATGTGAGGTAGCATCCTTAGTTAGCCCAGTGGAATCACTCACATGGAATAAAAATATCTTCCCCACCCACCACAGCCCTGCAAAAAGGCAGGGGGAGCAGAACTCTTACCTGTAAATTGGAAACTCCCACGGCAGTGATGATACCGAACATCACAAGAAACATTCCTCCAATGATGGGTGTTGGGATGCTAGCAAACATTGCCCCGATCTTGCCAAACATGCCAGTCAAAAGCATAACACAGGCACCAGCGACAATGACCATTCTGCTTCCTACCTGTGTCAAGAGGAACAGAAGAGGATGGCAAAAGCATTAAAAAAAGACAAGGAGACTGGCAGGTTTCAAAATTCTGGCAACCTGGACAATTTTACCAGAATATTCTGCAGAATTATGTCTGATCCATGTTCCATGGAGCTCCCTGTTAAAGATATTGCCCAAAACCTAACTAAGAAAAACTGCACCCTTAAGAGCAATCATACACTGATATTTTTTTTTGCCAATCTGGAAAGTTACGCTTTTGCACAGTGAGTGGTGTGACCAGTCACAGACCTGATTTTGGAACCGGTCATGCAAAGGAGAGCGAGCCTGTCAGGGGGCAGAATGCTTGCAAGGTTGCTTTCATGTGGTTGTCTAAGCAAGGGGAGTGGGTCTGCCCACTACATTTTTATCTTTTAGCACACTAATGAATGAGAACCAGTTGATAGATTGTGGACTAGATCTCAGGAGACATGAGTTCAAATCCCTGCTTGACCATTAAGACTCACTGGGGGAAAGCAACAGGAAACATTTCAAATACTTCAACAACAAAAAAACCCAAAAAACAATAAGGGTTACCATAACTCAGAAACAACTTGGCAGCACATAACAACAAATACCAATTACTTTTTCAATAAGACGTGTCACGTTACTAACTCTGAATTCTTGAAATTAGAATAAGAGTTACTGAACATCACTCTTCCGATAAGACAGAGAACAATGGGCACATTACTACAGAATTGTTCTCGAATGTTGAGAATATCCTACTGCTGTTAGGATTAAAAATTTATGCAATGCTGACTTAATATAAACCAAAAAATCATTATGTATGTTGAATTCTTATCTACAAGGAGTGATTTAGAGAAGGACAAATGATTTTTAAAATCAGAAACTTTATCAGAATTTGTGGTAGTCTGATATACAGCAGAAACAGAAATTCCACCCTACCACCTTACATGTTGTCCTTCTGAGTTACTGTTTTAGAAACTTGTTTTTAGTTAAAGCAACCATATTTCCATAACCATGTTTCAGAGGAATTAGGGGATGGGCTTTATAGGTTTCATTATGACTTTTCTCCACCAAGATACTCCAACACTTGAGTGCTGAACTTATCCTGGAATGTGCAGATCACAGCAGAACAGGACCATCCTAGAAAATGTTCCCAGGATCTTCTGCAAGGCATGAAATCTAGCATGGCACATGTGCAGGGTTTTCTGGAGCGGACAATCTGACAAGGAAGGATTTTCTCAGGACCACAGCATTTTAAAAACACCTCTTATCTCTACTAGGCCCTCTTTTGTTTAAATGTGTATTCATTTCTATTCTTCAAAAACTGGTAGTACAATTCTGTAGCAGAATTAATTTTTTTTTATTGCAAACAGACTTACCCGGGTGATGCCTAAAGCCCCGACGTTTTCACTGTAAGAAGTGGTACCATTTCCTGTGCCCCAGGCCCCAGCCAGAAGGCAGCCAATCCCTTCCACTCCAATTCCACGGTTGATTGCATGAGTGGGAGGGGGCGGAGCCCCACACAAGCGAGCACAAGCATAGTAGTCTCCCACCGACTCCACCATGGAGGAGATCACTCCTGCTATGATGCCAAATACCCCAGCTAGGCTGATTGTGGGAACTCCCCACTGACCTATATGTCAGGAAACACAAAAACATATTGTCCAGGTTAAATCTGTGGATCCGAGGGACTGAAGGCTCCTCAGCATAAATTACTCAATTCATCTCAGTTATTCTCATAATCTGGCCCAGTGTTGGAACCGACTCCCACCAATATCACCAACTACAGTATATGTTTGTTTGTTTAACTCCTATGTTCTTTGGTTACAATGGTTAGAGTGAAAAGTCACCAGCTAGTCTAGAAGACCAAGAGCTGCTTTAGGCAGGTTGTGTACGATAACAGGAGCAACTTCAAATTACTCCATAATTCAGCTATAGGCCACTCAAGAACCCCTTGAGGAACTTTTGATTTTTCTCCATTTTAAAATTGCTGCAGGTGGAAGGTGTCACCAGGTTGGTGTGCTGTGTGTGCCAGCAATTCATTATATGGTGGACAAAAGATGCACCATCAGATTCCTCCCCCATCTTATAAAATGCATTTGGGATCTATATTCTAATAATCTGAACTTCACTGATGATGGATAATAACCAATGTTTTCTTTCCTAAAGAGGAAGCAAATATCAACAAAATTACAGCATGACAATACCTGGGTAAGGAAACCGAAACCAAGGTGCCTTGGATAGAACATCACCTTTGCTGTCTGTCCGAGCATAATAGCCATACGCTTTAGAGTCCGTAGGGAAGACGTCGGTGACAGTGAGTACTAAACATAGAAGCCAGGTAATTGTGAGGGCAAACAGCACCTACCCAGTTACAGGAGACAAGGAATCTTTGTTATTTGCTGAACTCAGGTCTCCAGGCAGAAGGTTATATTTTTATTGCTCAACCAGGTGTCTATTGCGTGTATCTGGTCTGTCAAAGAAATACTGTTGTAGCACAAATGGGTTCTAACAGTTGCACCCAGTTTCCAGTATCAAGACAAATGTTACTAGATCTTGCCTATTATCCTTTAAATTTTGGTTAATAATCCTGTGCTTTTCTTTTTATTGAGACACAAAAACTGCTATCAATTTTTGCCACTTGAATTAACTCCCACCTAGCTCAACTGCACAGTTGTACATGGGATCATCACAAGGGGTTGTTAAGATGAGCAGAAACTTATTCTAAGCACAGCTGTAACCTTGAAAAGCTACTGAATCTTACAAAAAGTCATGAGATTGTTACTGCAAATGGAAGTTCCATGTTGAGCCTCAAGGTAAGGTGCAGCTTAGATGAGCTTGTGCCCAAGTAATGAAATGGGGCAGGAATAATGAAATGTTCTACATTCTTATGTTGGGGAAACAATGGAAGGTTGATAACACATAGTTCCGCTATGACATCCCATCTGCCATGACATTAATCTGTATGATAATCAAGTATTTTTTGTGTATCTGTGGCTCATTGGGCCAACACAATCTGTAAATCAGTTGCATCAGGGCAACTCAATGTACATAATATATATTGACGTCTGCAAAGCTTTTGACAAAGTGCCACATTATATTCTAATTAGCAATATAACTGGGTGTGAGCTGGATAGGACAACTGTCAGGTGGATATACAGCTGGCTACAGAATTGTACTCAAAAAGTGTTTATCAATGGCTTCGTCTCAAACTGGAAGAAGATAACAAGTGGGGTTCCACAAGGCTCAGTCCTAGGCCTGGTGCTCTTCAACATTTTTATTAATATCTTGGATGAGCGGCTGCAAGAAATGCCTATCAAATTTGTGGATGACACCAAATTGAATGGAATGGTTAATACAGTGGGACCTCGACTTACGAACATCCCTACCAACGAACATCTCGACTTACGAATGGCTCTGTTCGCAAAAATCTACATCAACTTGCGAATGGAGCCTCGACCTACGAATGAAAAAAAGGCAGGGGAAAAGGACAGCAAATTCAAATTTCCCCTACCTTTTTTTCATTCCATTCAAACCGTTTATGGCAAAGAGGCTGCTCTTTCACCCCAACGGTTAGGAAAAGGGACTCCCAGGAGGTCTCCGATGGCGCCGGGGAAGGTCCCAGGGTTTCCCCGCCGCCATCAGAGACTTTCTGGGGGTCTGATCGTGGTGGCGGGGGAGCTTTCTGGGGGTCTGATCATGGTGGCGGGGGAGCAATTTTAAATTTCCCACCCTTTTCCGCCACCGCGATCGGACCCCCAGGAGGTCTCCGATGGTGGCAAGGAAGCCCTGGGAGCTTCTCCACCGCCATCAAATACCTCCTGGGGGTCCCCCACCACTGCGATCGGACCCCCAGGAGGTCTCCTGAGGTCTCCTGGGGGTCCAATCGCAGCAGCAGAAAAGGGCAAGAAATTTAAAATTGCTCCCCCGCCGCTATGATCGGACCCCCAGGAGGTCTCCTCAGGGCTTCCCCTGGTAGGCCCGGTCTACCTGAGGCCTCCTGGGGGTCCAATCGCAGCAGCAGAAAAGGGCAAGAAATTTAAAATTGCTCCCCCGCCGCTATGATCGGACCCCCAGGAGATCTCCTCAGGGCTTCCCCTGGTAGGCCTGGTCTACCCCCCAGGAAAGCCTGAAGGCGCTGATCACAGTGGTGGGGGACCCCCAGGAGGTCTCTGATGGAAGTGGGGAAGCCCTGGGAGACTTCCTGGGAGTCCGATCACAGTGGCAGAAAAGGGCAGGAAATTTAAAATTGCTCCTCTGCCACTGTGATAGGACCCCCAGGAGGTCTCCGATGGCAGCGGGGAAGCTCCTGAGGGTCCCCCACCACTGCGATCGGAGGCAGAGGTCATCCAGCACCAGGGGGACTTGAGCTGGCCAGGTACTTGGCCGCAGCGGAGGCAGCGGAGCGCTGGGAGGGTTCGGACTGGTAAGTCCTTTTTTAAAAATGTTCTGGGGGGGGTTGACTGGGGGGGTTATGTCTCTGTGCTGTGTTTAGCACACTAATATATCTTCTTCCTCAAATGATATGGTAGTTATCGCTTGTGATTTGACCCTCAGACTACTACTGAAGAACCAAACCATCACTGGTACTGCCACAATACTTCTTCATTCAACTGCTACTTTTAAAAAAGACAACCAAATGATGTGAAATGTAATTTGATTCAGCTGAAAGGCTGAACGCTAACACTTTACAATTCCTATGACACATCATAGCTTACCATGTTGAAAACAACACTGAAAATCACCAGGTTTTACCAACAGGTAGCAAGTTGGCACAACATCATGGAATGTACCAGTTTGTGAATGTCCTCAGAATCTACAATGGTATTTGAAAGGTAACTGATTAAAATGAAACACAATTTAGCTTTACCTGAATCATTGTCTACCTGCTCTGGTTTATTTAGTTATACAAAGTCTAAAGAGGTAACTCACGGGGAAGATCTGGAAGAGGTAGATTTTGGAGAAATGGCATTTCTTGCTTTTCTGGTAAGAAGGCAGTGGTACGGGCACATTCTTCAAGTATTGAGAGAATAGAACTATGAGGAAAATGGTTCTAAGATGGCAGAGGAAGAGAAAGGAAGAGAAGGGATGAACTCTTAATAATCCATGATAATTTGAATTTCTGAAACTGGAAGTTAATACACAAGAACTAATGCTAATATCTGCACCACAAGCTTGTGTGCTTGTAATGCATGCTTAATTCAGAGATGTTCTTATTATGCCTACTTTTTCTTACCCCAGTTTTCCACACCATGGAATCAGACCCTAACCATTCTGAATCTACTTGCAAATTTTTAAATCTCACATACCCCAATACAATATCTAAACATGGACTCATATTTGACAACACTAAGTGTTTATAGTTTCTGAAGAGCCAAATTCTATTGTCCTACTGAATTCTCTGCTCCCAGCTAATGTTACAGTAATTCTTACTTGCCATCAAGTAAATTTGGACTTATGGTGACCTTTGCAAGGGCTCCCTAGCTACAGAGTATTTCAAAGTCGTCTCCTCTTCTTTTGGGGGTGCACTGAGACTGTATAGCTTACCCAAATCTATACAGGCTAGCTGGCTTTTCTCCTAGGAGGCACAATGGGAATCAGACTCTTGACTCACTTCTTATCTGAAGCCAGGTAACCAACTCACTGAGCTAACCAGCCAACTCCCAACTAATTGAGACACATCCAATTAATTTCTGAATGATAGATCAACTCTTACGTAATTCCTATTGATTCACCAAGTGTACTCCCACTGGGGAGTAGCACTTGCATTTAGATCCATCTATTTTAGGTCCTTTGTACCATTACCAATGAGCAAGTCCCTCTCAACTCAATAGGACTGACTTTGTCCCCAGGAGAGGGGCAAAAGATTGGCTTGTATTAATACATTCCTGGTTTTGCAAATGTTGTGCAGAACCATATCATGATTTTTGTGATGCTTAATTGTTTGTGTCATTGTTTTACAGTCTGTGAGCTTCTCTTGTATGTTTTGTGACATAAAAGCAGGATAAAAACAATCAACAGTGTGCTTTGTCACTAAGCAGGGAGCAGTGCATACCTTTCATTATCCACTGCTTGGAAACCGATGAAAAGCTAATTTTAAAAACTATTGGTGGTAAGGAACAGATTTAGCTTGTTTAATGCCACAAAGAATTTGTCCAAACATGGGTACAAAACAAAAAAGGAGGTAAATCTTGTGCTGCTATGTGTGCCTCCAATATTAACTTACCACTTAGTCAAATCAAGAGATGCAGAACATGTAAAGAGGAAAATCTATGTGACTGCAAACTTTTAATTTCTTATTTGTTTTTTTTTTTTTACATTGGCCTCTGGGTTAAGCTTCAAATGCATGTACATAAATGTGTGTGAGACAGCTGAGGTTACTGTATGACAATTGTGTGTGCTTATTCTGTAGATTTAAATGGAGACATGGACAATGCAGAGGAAGATGCTTTGTTCCCAACTGACACAGAAAAAAGAGATTTCATCCTGGGTGTAGGTAATTTTTATATTTTCTGGTTGATCTACCTTCTCCCTACTTTGCAAAATGACTGGATAATTTCCAAAATAAACTATTTTCACTAGGAATTTCTGCACACTTCCAAGCATTATCTGGAATCTATTGATATTCTCATTTCAGTAATGTACACAAGACCGAGTTTATGCCATTGAACTTGTATTTGGCATTGTTTCTGCACATGCTTGGTTTAACTCACATTTATGAAAACAACCAAAAAGTCATTTCCCAATTTTGTCTTTGCCTATAGAATAGACCCATGGAAGAACGGACAAAGGATTCTAATCTAACCATTAGATTTTGGTAGTCAATTAGAAGTGGTGAAACTTACATGGCCGCTATGCCCCAGTGCTGTCCTGCATCATCCCCTGCTGAGGCAAAGAGAGGGAGCGCCACCAAGGTTATTGTTGGCGCAATCGTCAGAGGGCCAATGAACCGCATCAGAAATCCAATGAGGCCAGAAAAGCCAATGAAAATTTGAAAGCAGGAAGCAATCATGATTGCTCCTTGCAGCTGGGAAAACAAAAGACAGAAGATGAATTATTTCAATGGGTTTCACTGTAAGGAGAAAATTCATGGAGCCAAATGTCACCTTAGTCACTCTAATAAATATGACAATCCCCTTCCTTCACTTAATGAAAGTGACTGATTGCTCTTAATACTTTGTCTTCTGCCTAGCTGGGCAGGCACAAGGGCAATAGTAACCTTTTAAAAACGTCCCAGTTTTGAAAGAAGTGAAACACATCAAGAGGCATAGTGCAAAATGTCTGCTTAGGCCCGATGGTGCAATTGAACCAGGGTGTGCAGGGTTGAAGCCCTGGGACATTTGGGAGTAAAAGGAACTGTAACATCATCCAGTACCTCCTCTCCAGGCTTCTCTGTTTCCTTTGAACTTAGCTGGAGCTCTCACAGTAGCTGGGAAAGAAATAGTGTTTTGAGCCATCTCCATTGAACACAAAATATTTGAAGGTGGCCCAGTATTAAAGGGGCACTTAAGAGCCAATCGTTTTTCAAATGAGCTGCTTCTCAGTTGCTGTTTTTCTTCCCAAAATCTCCAGAACACGGCCGAACAGCCCGAAAAACCTACAACAACCATCGGATCCAGGCTGTGAAAAGCCTTAGAGAATACATTGCTTCTCAACTGACTGCATCTGTGGACTTTTCTTGATAAGCCTTTGAGAATACATTGCTTCTCAGCTGTTAATCCAGCTGACTGCATCTGTGGACTTTTCTTGATAAGAGGCTATGGGGACTGTTCTGATGAGCATCTGCTCTTCCAAATTTAGCTCTGCACCACTGGATGGAGCCAATACTAGTCCAGGGAATAATCATGTCACCACCCTCTTGTATAGAATCATGGACTTTAAATATTACTGAAGCCACCATCAAAGGGACCCCAAGATATCAGATATGAACTCAGCCAGAGCATAGGTGGCATCTTCTCCCTATGTCAAATAAACAGAAGGTTTGGGAGCAAAAGGGAAACTATTTCTGACATATCTTATGAAGAAGCAGAAGCTGCACAAACTTCTAGAACATTCCACTGCTGAGAACCATGTGAAAGAAAACCCTCTAAGTGCACAGAGCATTCCCAATAGATTACCTCTCGCATTCGTGTTTGCCACTCATGAACAAACTCAGGAGATGTAGTATTCACCAAACTGGCATTGTGGATCCATGCTGGGCACTTCCAACCAGGGAGACTGAGCATAGCAAGTGATGGGGTTAAGAAAGCAAATGTCCCTCCTTGTAGGATAGGGAGCCTGTGTTGAAAAGAGGTTTTTTGGGGGGTGGAGAAATCAAGAAAAAACAAAGCTCAGCCGAATTAACTTTGTGGACTTTGCTGGATGGGGTAGGCAACATGTGAATGCAAACACAGCGGCTACCTTCATCTTTGAAGTCAGCTTTATCTAAATCTACTTCTCAAGGAATGGAATAGTTACAGCTTTCTCAGTATGGTACCCTCCCAGTATGGGGGACTCTATCTTGGATCACTGATCTTCATTAGTGTTCTACAATTCCTGCCCCTGGTCTTCATCATAAGGTGGCCCACTGGAGAGAAAAAGAGAAAGGAAAGAAATGAAAGGTGAGAGGAAAGAGACTGCATACATCGTAGTGGACTTGTAGTCAAGAAAGATAAAGTAATGATATTGTAGAGAAAATATATTGTACAAGATGGAAAAAAATGGATCCATGAGTTTAAAGGCCCCCAGTGTTGACAACCTCAAACAGCAATATGTTGTGCAAGAAAATACCATATTACACTCTATTTCTGCCTCTTCCATATTACATTCCTCCTCATCTCAATTCTTGCTTTTGCAAAATATCAGTATCAATTCACACATTTTTAACATGCTAGTACAAAATACACTTCTGTGCAGGAGAAAAAATACACATGTAGATCATCTCGTGCACCATCAATCACATACGTATTCATTTTCCCACATATAAAAGGCAGTAGGAAGCATACCTGAAGATGACCATGGCTGAAAGTACAGTAAACCTACAATCACCCCACATTCCTTGCTTTGCCTTCTGTGCAGGAGAAAAAATATACATGTAGATCATCTCATGCACCATCAATCACATACATATTCATTTTCATATAAAAGGCAGTAGGAAGCATACCTGCAGATGACCATGGCTGAAAGTACAGTACACCTACAATCACCCCACATTCCTTGCTTTGTAGATGACAAATAGCCTTAAGAATATGCTTTGTAGGTGATGCTAGCCTTTTCCGCTTGGTACCCTCCAGAACCACTTAGCCAGCATTAAGGCATAACTGCCACTTTCATTCCCTCCAAGGTACATTGCAAGAGAGAAACAGCTGTCAAAGGATCATTGAAAACATGACTTTTCAAGCAGGCTTTCCTGAAGTATTCAACATCTTGATGCAGTAGCAGTTTCAGTGTTTTATCCTATCTGTTCCACCATCGTTCCTTTAAACTAGCCTATTATTTTTAGTTTCTACTTTATTGCTAGTTTATGTTTAGTTGATTTCTCATTTACTTTTGATTTTGATTGTTATTGTGTTTACTGTCTTCCCTTATTTTTATCTGTTTTTTTAGTTGTAAACTGCCCAGAGTGGCCCTGGCAGGCAGAAGGGTGGTATAAAAGTTAAATAAATAAACAAACAAATAGATAAATGAAGGCTTCAATGTGCCCTGGTACTCACAGTACTCATGCTACCTGTAATCTGCCCCATGACATGAAGAGGAGATTTTACCCAGCGGGAGGAATTTGCCTGCATGAAAACCCTAAGACAACATTCTCTAATCTGGTACTATCCAGATGGTGGTACGTGCTGGGGAGTATGGAAGATATAGTGCAGTCTCTATGAGAGACCTAGATTTGGGCATCAGGGAGATTAGCTCAACGACTTGAGTAGGAACAGATATAAAAAGAATTTGTTGCTCCTACCTTCCTTTGGAACTAGCTCAATTCTTGCAGTCTCCTAATGTACTAATTTCACCAGACGGGCTGTACAAATAAATTGCCAGGCCTGTTGGTTTCCGTTTGTTGAAACACAGATTTACACAGAGAATGAATAAAAAATCCATAACATATTTCACTGTAAATGTACCTGGGACCCTGTAGAGAAACCACGCTAAAGGATTACCTTCCCCTCCCTTCATTCTCCCAGGATTGCTTCTCTACATAATCAGGACAGTGTATTAAGCAGGAACGCCTACTTAGCCAGATTTTTCAAAATGCTCTTTCATCTTCACCTCCCATTCTTACACTGCCTTTTTAAAAACATCTGTCAGTACACAAGCACACCCCTGATCCTCCTTCACTTTAATGACTGTGAAATACTCCTGACATGTTAGTTAATTGGGTTTCTTTTTTAAATGAATGCCCATGCTGCCCTTCCCATAGCAAGATCAAGATTTTTTTTAAAAAAAAAGCCTTGGCAAGATATAGGAACAAATTTTCTTGCACTGGATGTACCCAAAACCTCAAAGGAAAAGTTTAAAATGCTTTATTTTGTACATGACGGATTCACTATTTGTACTGGCAATAGTACAAAATGCCTGAGGCAGTCATTCGCCTCTATTGGCTTCCTCCTTATATCAAAGGTTACATCTGAAGCATTTGTAGGGTGTGGAGGAAAATGGGATTCCTAGGGGGAAAACAATCTTTTCCATCTGTAAGCTGGCCTTACAATTAAGGATGTTGCTATTTTGCTTAGCAGAAATAGAAATCAGTGACTAAGGAGGTATAACCAAACAGGAAGATCTCATCCTTCCTCTTGTCTGATAGGGATGCAAGTCACAACTTTGCTAGAAACATGGGTCCTTTCATCATCCCACTGAAAGGCACAGTGAGACTACTGACCTTTTAATTGTGGGCCGGTCACTATTTTGAGGGCACAAACTCTCTTCTGGGGTGAACAGATGTTTAGGGAATTTTAAGGTTAACTGGCACAGTGGCAACACAGTGGCAGAAGGCATGCTTTGCAAGCAAAAAGTTCATTCTCCAGGTATAAATCTCCTTTGCCTACTTTTCACTTTGGTGACCAGCATCTTGATAGTGCACCCTATAAGGGCACAGGAGGTGGAAGGAACAATAGAGAACAGTTCTGCTTCTGAGCTGTGAGCCTGTGCCTAGATTCTCCTCCTCTATCAATGTCAGATGTGTGCTGGCACACCTTCAAGACGTCCTTACAGCACTGATCTTTAATGACATCTAATGTGCTCCGTGAATGTTGTGAAGTTGCTCCTGTCTGTAAACTTATAAAACCTTCCAGTATTCATCTACAAACTAATTGCATCTTCCAAACCCTATTTTCTCCTTCCACAACAGAAAGTATAAAATGATGTAACAGTTAATACTGGGTGTGTTTGTATCTCTCCTTTTTTCCTATTTCTTTGCTGTATAAACAATATTCATTTGATATAACTGTAATTATTACAGAGAAGGCTGAATGTGCAATGGATTCACCCAGTAAAGGAAACTACAGCCTTCAGCTGCAAGACCTGAGCAGAGCTGTTCATTATAGCAGTGGTCCTCAACCTTGGGCCTCCAGATGTTTTTGGACTTCAGCTCCCAGAAATCCTGGCCAGAAGAGGTGGTGGTGTAGGCTTCTGGGAGTTGTAGTCCAAGAACATCTGGAGGCCCAAGGTTGGGGACCACTGCATTATAGGACCTTCTGAAGGTCATTAGTTCATAGGGTCCCCATGTCAGAACCAACTTGATAGTACATAGCAATGCCAGATGCCAGAATACTGTTGATACTTTATGCTCACATAAGTGCAATGGCATAAATCCTAGGGATGAAGTGCCACTAGTTGCCAAGTTACCACTTGTAATCCTCATCCTGTGCCAAGTCACACAAATAGAAAGTCTCAGGGGCTGCATAAAAGTAATGACATGCTACTATCCTACTATATAAGATTGCTATTTCTTTCCATACTGATTGTGCAACCTGTGAATTTTGGTAAAAGTTTCAAAAATAAACTGAAACCAATTTCTCCCACACCTGTAAGCAAAATTTAGTAAGTACAACAAATCCCAGCATTGGGGGGGGGGGGAACCATGCTATGCTTTCAAGTAATAGAGATATAAAACTGCCACCCAAATAATTAAACTAACTAACTAACTCACTCACTCACTCACTCACTCACTCACTCTAGGCAACTCTAAGTCAGCAGCATAAATGTGGTTGAATTGAAACCCAGCCTTCTAAGAGTTATGACCTCAGAACTTTGTCCTACATGCATAAATTTAACCTCTGGATACTTCTTTGGAAATCTATCTTCTTGGGTTTCTTCTACATTCAAACTGCAAAAATCTCAACTCTTTCGATCCTACATATGAAGCAACTAGCTAATTGTGTTACAGTCTTTATGAAATGAACGGAAACAAAATTCCTGTCCATGCCCCACCTGAGAGCCATTGCTTGTGGCTTTTGGAAAGACTACCAGCACCTAAAATGTAGGCACATTCCACCTAACGAAAACAGAGCTTATCTGAGGTAATTTAAATGAGCAGCTCACAATCGCAGACCAGAGCAACATCAAAAAGGCTTTTGTGGAGCTGAAAGAGTGCAAGATGAGATGAACTCTTAAATAAATTAAGGTCTTGCTTTACACGGAACAAAGAAAATCTGTGCCCTGTTCTGAAGGCTTCATTGTTGAGAAAGCAAACATCATGTCTTTGAGCAATGGTTTGTTTTGTTTCCTTCAGCCTTAGAAGGACAAAAACGCTTATAGCACCACATACGCTGGTTCCTTTCAAGGGTCTCATAATAGTTGACCCTCCTTGACTCACACTAATCCATGTACAATTCGGCTATGCATGTGCCTTTCTTTGCCAGGATGGAGAGGCTCAGGGCATCATTTTCTTCCATATAATAATGATGCACAGCTTAGGAATGGAGTTCATTCTGTGGCAGTACCAGAGACAGCCAGGGAAGAATCTGGCCAGAAATGCTTGAAATCTACTGTGAACAGCAGGGCACACAGAGTGGACAACACTGGATTAGATGAACTGATACTCTAATAAGGTTGTCTCCTGCATTCCTGCTGTGTACTTTGCAGGCAGGAACTCTCAGGAACTCTTTCCTAAAGATGATACGAGTGGAAGGACAGAAAAATAACATGGGAAGCTAACTTTGGGAAGGTCTATACTTTTCCATTGAGTTAAATTAAGTTTTAACTGGAGACCAATACAGTAAATAACTTTGCTTTTCAGACAATTTTGGGAGCATTTAGGGATAAACAGCAGAGGCTTATGGAAATGGAGGCAAACGTTTTGATCCAAGTAATTTCAGTTGGTCCTGAAAGCGGGGCTTATCAGGATCTGTGTCCGCCTTGCACTGCATGTCTTTATAAATCACTTCTCTTTGAGATTCTAGGTAAAAAATGCTTATACACCTGCTTCCCTGCAGGAATATCCTATCTGGAGCTTGTGGTGGTGGTGGTTGGGGTACTAGTGGACATAATGGCAATTTTAAAGCTAATGAAGAGCTAGTTAAAGGCTTCTGATCACCTCTGATGCAGAAATGAACCTCCCATTCAAAATGTCACGGCACTTATCTCCAGAACAAAATTAACTGGTAGAGACAAAAAGTAGACACAAAAGAATGGAAAGGCAGGTGAAAAGGCACTGATCATATTGGACCAAACCTTGCATCATCTGGAGGCAAGGGATGAACAAAACCAACCATGCAGGACCTGGTACTTTTAAAGAAATGTTTGTACTGTCCGGAAGAACCAGATTCAAGCATACTATAACTCCAAGCACACTAGCATACTTGTTCACAAGGAAGAAACATTAATGATTGTAAATAAAAGTCAATGTAATTTTAAAGCAATGGTTTACCAACTTGCATCTCTTCCCACCTCTCCAAAGTTAGTATTATTCCATTAGAGAAAGGTTGTAAATTTATATGGGACTGTTAAACCAGTGGCCTGGGTTCCACCATTTTGTATTCTCTTGCTAGGAGGGCTTTAGACTTCTCTTTGATTTTCAAGTGCCTCTCACTTGCTATCTCTTCCAAGCTCTCATTATTCACTAAGACCCATAAACAGTGAGGGATAAAGTCAATTTTAATAATATGAAAGAGAGGTCACATTACCTGTCTTTGAAAAGCATGCTTAATTAATGAGCCATTTTATTTTTTCTGAAGAAAAAACAGCCACCAGATCCTAATCTGTAGTGTGCTTTCAGTCTAGATTGGAGCATCTTGTCAGTTTCCTTGTGGAAAACACTGCCCACCCCTACTCCACCTGCTCCTTACTACAGACAGGCTTCAATCCAGATCAGGAAGATGTTCTGGTTCAGGACTCTATGGCTGTTTTTTATTCAGAAGAATAGTAGCTTGTTAAAGCATGCTCTTTAAAAGTGTAGATGATGTAATGAGTAGTTTGGCTAAATGACTGTGTACATACAATAAATCAGAGATGGAACTGCAGCACAATTTGAACAAGTATTCAAATGACTGTGTACATACAATAGAGGTGGAACTGCAGCACAATTTGAACAAGTATTCTGCTGTGTAATGAAATTATCTAAAGCAAAGTGTTCTGCTTAGACACCGCCCTATAGCGCTTAAAGCACCCTCTGGGCAGTTTACAATTTAATTATGGAGGCTACACATTGCCCCTGCCCAGCAAGTTGGGTACTCAATCTACTGACCTCAAGAGGATGGAAGGCTGAGTCAATCTCAAGCCGTCTACTTGGGATTGAACCTGGATCGTGAGCAGAGTTTTAGCTGCAGTACTGCAATTTAACCAATGTGCTACACCATCAATCCACTCTACCTTCTTCCAGATCATATGAAGTGCCTACAGATTTGTTACAGACGGGATACATCTCAATGTATGCTTGATAAAAGTTAGTGTTCTGTCTCCACTTGAAAATTGCAGCTTGCATAAATTACTGCTTCCTGAACCTGTCAGTTTATGAAATATCTTGCTGTTTCTTTAGATTAGTTCTGCTATAACTTTACTTTACGTTAGTGGTTGTTCTGGGTTTTTTGGGCTCTTTGGCTGTGTTCTGAAGGTTGTTCTTTCTAATGTTTTGCCAGTCTCTGTGGCCGGCATCTTCAGAGGACAGCAACCTGTGCTCTGGCGTAGTTGGCTTGGGAGTGCAGTATTTATGGCTGTGAGATAGGCCTTTGTCTTTTTCTGTAGATGGGTGATTAGTGTATATTGTTGTGGGTGTATTGTTGTGCTAAGAAGAAGAGATTATCTGTTCCTGTAGTTGATGGGTGTCATTCGTTGACCTTTTGCACGTTGTATTTTTGAGAGCTGGGAGCCAAGTTTTGTTGAGCTTCATGCTTTCCTCTTTTTTGTTGAAACTGTGCTGGTGCTTGTGGATTTCAATGGCTTCCCTGTGCAGTCTGACGTAATGATTGCTGGTGTTGTCCAGTATTTCTGTTTTTTTAAATAGAATTTCATGTCCAGCTACTGCAGATTTTTCTGGTTGTTTTAGTCTGCAGTGTCTCTCATGTTCTTTGATTCTGGTGTGGATGCTTCGTTTTGTGGTTCCAATATATACCTGGCCACAGATAATCTCTTCTTCTTAGCACAATATATACCTGAACAGATAATCTCTTCTTCTTAGCACACCAATACACCCACAACAATATACACTAATCACCCATCTACAGAAAAAGACAAAGGCCTATCTCACAGCCATAAATACTGCACTCCCAAGCCAACTACGCCAGAGCACAGGTTGCTGTCCTCTGAAGATGCCGGCCACAGAGACTGGCGAAACGTTAGGAAAAACAACCTTCAGAACACGGCCAAAGAGCCCGAAAAACCCAGAACAACAATTAGATCCCAGCCGTGAAAGCCTTCGCGAATATATTAGTTTACTTTAGATTTATACCCCGCCCCTCTAGACAAAGTCAACTCGGGGCGGCTTACAAAAAATGATAAAATACAATAGAGTGATCAGAACAACAATTAGATCCCAGCCGTGAAAGCCTTCGCGAATATATTACTTTACTTTATTTAGATTTATACCCCGCCCCTCTAGACAAAGTCAACTCGGGGCGGCTTACAAAAAATGATAAAATACAATAGAGTGATATAGTTATTAAAACTTAATAATACAAGCAACTAACGAGTGGATATATACACTATCAAGATGGGAAATTAAAGAAACAAAACAGTTAATTGACTGGAGGGAAGTCCTGCCTAAAGAGCCAAGTTTTTAAATGGCTTTTAAAAACACCCAGTGAGGGAGCCAGGCAGATTTCCGTTGGTAGATTATAACATATGGAGCATAGCCACTGAAGATGAGGGGAAAAAAGACCAAGTAATTCTGGATCTTATGAATAGTATTAGCTGTGAAGAACAAAACTGGGTAAAGAGGACAGAAGAAAGTGAGGATTGTGTGAGAATAAAACTAGGTAATACTCTTCTAATTATCAACATATACTTTAGAGGAAAATAATTCATTTTAGTTCATTTATCCTCGAAAGAATACAGATCAACTATGATAATAATTTTTTAGGTCCTAAATTTCCTTAGCCAATTTGGAGAATGCTGGGACTAATAAGTAACTTTTCCAACCTCTGGATATGTTTAAATAGCAGTTGGTAGGATTATAAAGCTCTTCCGGGCAGACAGGAAAAGCAATATGCCAGCTGTACATGTGACCGAGACGTCTCCATTGCCATCTCATCTTCTGATTTCTATGACCTTTACCGAGTTATGGAAATTAACAGAAGTTGTGTCTGTTTACTTCATTTCTAACGGGTTCGTTTGCACCATTTATCTCATTCACCAAAAAGTAAATAGATCTCCTGTAAAGGTACTGTTATATTTTCAGAAGCCCATTTCTACCTGACGCCAAATAGGACTTGAAGGAGGGTGCAGATCCCTGAGACAAAGAAGATGGTGCTGATAAGGTGACTCTGGGCCAAAGTATCGTGCTCCAGGCAAAGTGCTTTGGAAAGGATGAGAGGGATTGCGACAAGACCTCCAAGTGCAGTCAGGTAGTGCTACAAAAAAAAGAAAGAGAAAAGGCAAGTAATGTTTACCAGGTATGACAACAGAGGGAACAAAATCTTTCCTCTCAAGGCATCCACAGTATGAAACAACTGCCCTAGAGAGTCCTGGATGACTCCTTCTAAGTGCCAGATATGCTACTAAGGCATTTTAATTCCACCTAGCACGGGACACCCCAGAAGAAGAAAATGGAAAACCTGTGTATTCTCTACCTAGAAAACCCTGGAAAGAGTCACCATAAGTCAGAATTATCATTACTATTCTTTCAATTTAGTTTAATTGAAACTAAATCTCTCTCTCTCTCTCTCTCTCTCTCTCTCTCTCTCACACACACACACACACACACACACACACACACACACACCTCCAGTTTTAAAACTTTTTAAAAACCACTCTTTAAAATACAGTTGCATTTGTTATTATATTTACCATTCTATTTACCATTCTAACATGGTTTAGAGATTTTATGAGCCACTTTGAATTAATTTATAAAGAAAACTAATTTTACCTATTTTTTTTTAAAAAATTACATGAATATTTGTGATTGGAAGAAAAAGGTACACCTGCTGAAGTTTCCTCCTCCACACAATTATTAAAGTACAGGCACCCTCACCTCTGTCTCTAATGCATCATGTAACTTGTCCCTGGAGACCAAGCTAATGGCTAAAACATATTCTGCCTGGGGATACTCAGTCTTGAAAAAATGTCTCTCACTATACCAGATATATTTAAACATATTCCAGTGGTTTAAACCCTCTCTCCCCAAAAGATGCTGTTGGACATAAAGGTGAGTTTGGGAGTTTGCTGAAGTATATCCATCTCTCCACTTCCCTCCCTATGCAGCTAATAGCCTTTTAGGGGAAGAGATTTAAATTGGAGGAAATGACTAGAAACCACTTCCACTACAACTGTCCCAATGCAAATTGCCCCCATTTCTCCCCACCCCCACCCCTCTTTGGTTGCTTTTTAAGCAAAGAAGACATACAAGAAATCCCCTCATTTATTTGTCACATCTTCTTCATCCTTAGCACGTGGCTCAGTGGATATAGTGGTAAATAACAATTAAAAAGCAATGACAAAAATGTGACCACAATGTTTTTTGACTTAGCCATGATCTCTGCACCTCTACCTTCGGTTCCGCTGCTACTATACAGAGCTTGGAAGGTTAGTTCTAAAAAATAATTCATGACGTGACTTGTTACAGAGGTTTAAAAAGGAGCACCATGGTGTTTATAGAGATGGCCACGAACTTTCAATTCCCTTCCCTCTAACCTCCCTGACCACTCAAACAAGGAGGCAGGACAGGGAAACCCAGGCTCCTGCCAGGGATGGTCAAACAGTTGAAGAAGAGGAGAGAAGTGTGCTCCAACTGGTGTGTGGGTCACTGGCCAGGGAGGCAGGGGAATGGACTGTACAAACCAGCATGAACCTCCAAACCAAGGTTCATGTCCATCTCTAAAGGCTGTATTACAGGGGGGGGGGAAGACTTTTACACTGTTCTGAAGGAAGCAGAGGCTGTATTACAAGGGGGGAAAAGACTTTTACACTGTTCTGAAGGAAGCAGCTATGTTAGTCTGCTGTAGCAAAAATAACACAGAGTCCTGCGGCACTTTTAGGGCTAACTGGTTTTATCTAGCATAAGATTTCATGGACTTCAGTCAGGTTCTTCAGATGCATGTTGGGTAGCTTTTGTGGATGGTCTACTCTATTAGCTTCTACTCAGTCATGTCTGTCTTTTAGACTGCTTAGTGTTCCAATACACATCTGGCCGATATGTTGCCTTTATGTCCTTCAAAATTTATTCCTTCTCAGCTATATTTTGGTTTACTTCATCACACAGCATGCAACTGCCAAGAATTCCTGACTGAGTATTATTTTCAAGCCTTACCTGGATTCCCAAGAAAATGCACAGGTACCAGGGAGGAATATCTGTAACACTATAAGCGAGTCTACTGCAGTCTTTGCTGAGGCCTTTCTGTTTTTCTTCACCATCCAGAACCGTGGCACCAACTTCAGTGAAGTCCTGGTAATGTTCTCCATCATCAATCTGCAGAAACCAAAGGAGATCATTCTGGTTAGTGTGGGTAACACAGGACTTTACGCTGCTACCTAACCAAAGATGAAAAGAAACAGAATGAAAAAAAGCCAAAGGAAACTATCTGGATCCATTCTTAAGGGAAATCTTTCAAACTGACCCACTTTTTAACTCTTTCCTTCTCTTCAAGGCAATGTATTTCATGCTAAACAAACATCTCAGAAAAGTTATAGAGAGCCACCTCTTTCACCACCCCAGCTCTGCTTTTAAAATTTTCGATCTCTATATTATTCTAAGTTCTAAGAGCCACAACCAGGGAAATCTGAGATGGATGTTAAAATATGTGGTAGGTTTGAGAGCAGACCATAGACTTGGGTGTTGGCCTTATGAACCCTCCTAACTTGACGACGGTTCTCCAACAGGTTCCCTGTTGTGAAATCAAGAAACTAGCAAACTGCTTCATAGAGTTCCTACCGGAAGGGGCAAAAAAGAGAGACTGCCAAATATTCAATTTGAAATGTCCATTAACATTTCTGTCTTTTATAGAACATACGGGCACTGAGTGCTAAATGCCTGTGTGAGCCAAACAGGGAGGAACAGCAAGCTTATAAGAAAGCCAAGGATTATGCACAAAAAAATCCTAAGGGAAAAGGAGTTGAACAAACGGCCTTTCTCCCCAGATAATCCAATTAGGCTTGTGGATCACAGAGTACTGAATGATTAGATTGGGGGAGCAGGGGGAGGAAATGGGAGAATAGATTGCAATGGAGTGTTCTTGAATTAGGCCATGGTTGGCTGGCTGGAACCCTGAACAGGAGTGTTTCACGATTGATTACACACTTCAGAAAAGTCCAGATTACAGTATTGGCATTTGATAACATTCTGATCTGGTGGCAACATTTGTTAATTTCACATAAAAATTAGAACGAAACAAATGTATTCCTCAAGAATACTGAAGGGAGCCAGTCCCAAGTATGCATACCTAGGGTTCTAGACTTAGAACCTGTTACGGCATGTAAAGAGTGCTGGGTGGTGGGAATGAGAAAGAGAAGTACAGTATGCATAAGACCATTCAAAATCTTTAAATGCTAACTTTAATTTCTGTGCTAATATCATATTCAAGATGCAACTTCAATAAATATATATATTTAAAGCAGAGACTACGTGAGCCATAATGAGCAGGGAAGATAGTCCACAGTTCCGCTTTTCTGCTTGTCAAATTTAAAGCAGGAGAGAGTGTAAGTGGCAATATGGTGCAATCTCAGAGGCAGAAATGTATTAGAACCCTAACAGTTCTTTTCGTACAACAGAAAAAACAGCTAATTTTGCAATAAATCCGAGCAACCCGCCCTCCCACTGTAAACACAACCTAAAGTTGTTCACTTGGCCCACTTCTTCTTCTTCTTCTTCTTCTCTCTCTCTCTCTCTCCACTTACCTACTCATATTTAAGTTTATTCTGCTGGCATTGAATTTAAAAAGTAAGTACAGACTTACTACAAACGTAGGGTTGTCCAGTCCATTTGGGTCTTTGTTTGAGGAGGTCATCTCCACTTCAAGGTCTCTTCAAGGACTTCTTTGAAAAGCCAGAGAGAAAGGAAAGAAATGTTGGCCATTACAAACCCCATGCATCAAATTCTGAACAAGCAGCGAGGAGCGAAGCTACATGAGACTGACTTGCAGGAATCCAAATTCATTTTCAAGCATTCATGTGAGAATTACTGCAAAGGAATTTTTCCCCTTTACCAGCTAGCTGCAATTATTTTCTCCCTGTTTCTGCTCAGTTATTCAGTAACATGGTTTGAAACGGCTCAGCTTGAGACAAAGCACTGAATCAGTCACTAAAAAGGCAAAAAATGCTATGGATGTCACAGATTTTCAGCGAAACTGCTGAGCACTTCACCCTTGCTTTAAAAGACATCACTTGTTGAATAACTAAGAGTCATTTGCTTTTTAGACAGCACAATTTGGGGGGGGGGGGATGCAAAGAAAGGGCAAGAGTATAAAACCTTACAGACATACTTGAATCTTGTTCTTGCTAATTTGACAGTCACAAACTGGTAAACATGTTTTTTATTGTTATTCCCTGATTTTATTATTCTTGTATATGCATACCTGATACAAATTACACCGCTGCTCCAAGTCCATGTGAATTTAACAGCCTTCAATATTAGCACAATGGGGAGTAGAGGAATTTCTTTAAGAAAGCAACGTGGGAGTACAAATTTGACTTAGAATAATTTATTTGACAACTTTTCCATTCCTATCAATTGATCTCTGTTCCTCTAAGAGAGTAAATATAGAAATGGAAGGGTCCTTTGATTTGACGTGCATACGCCATTAAGCAAACCAGTTCTTAGCATCTGGCACGCCAACAGCACATGCACAGGAGGGGTGACTAGCTGAAATAGGATCCTGTATTCATGTCATGTTCCATGCGTAACTATAGGCTTGTCTTGCAATTTGCAAATCTAAATGGTAAACACATCTCTCCTATTCTGGCCAAGCTGCACTGGCTGCCCATCCATTTCCGTGTCGACTTCAAAGTGTTGATGCTTACGTATAAAGCCCTAAACGGTTTAGGTCCTCGATATTTGGCGGAACGCCTGCTCCCACTCATGCGAGCCAGGAGGTGAGGCTGGGGAGCCTAACGCCGAGGGAGGCCCGGAAGGAGCGAACACGAAATCGGGCCTTCTCGGCGGTGGCTCCTCGCCTCTGGAACAACCTTCCTCCAGCGATTCGTGCAGCCCCTACGCTGGGCACATTTAAGAACCAGCTAAAAACATGGTTATATGTTCAGGCCTTCCCTCCTGTCAATACTTAATTTCCTTTCTCTTTCTATCTATTTGTTTTATTATATGTGGTGTTGTTTACTTGTAATAATTTTTATGCTTTATTGTATATTTTTTATGGAAGCCGCTCAGAGTGGTCAATCTGACCAGATGAGTGGGATATAAATGAATGAATGAATGAATGAATGAATGAATGAATGAATAAATAAATAAATAAATAAATAAATAAATAGTTTACTCTTTCTCCTGGTCATGCTAGAGGAAAAAGGAGGGGAGCATGTGGGCCAAAAACACACTAGAACTGTTTACACCCTGAATGTACCTCACTTTCTATGATTTCAGAAGCTTAGCAGAGTCAGGTCTGGTTAGTAATGCTAGAGATCTCTGTGTAAGGTTAGGAGAGCACCTTGCCTGAAACACTGCAATGTCATCACCTATCAGAGTTGGCAATACTAGACAAGGTAGATCAATGGCCTACTTGTGCATTTGGTGCTAAAACATAGTTTACCAGTGTATACAAAACCTCACTGTGAAAACACTGGCAGAAATTCTGTTGCACCGCTCTGCGAGTGCAAGAGACATGATATCAGAGCTGTGGCAAATCACTGTTGATTAAAGTCTTCCTTTGGTGATATTGAGGCGGGCATGACTCTCTTGATCAGTGACAACTGGCCTTTAATCAATGGTGATTTATCATTATTAACGACATCATCCCTATTGTGCATGCAGAACTGAGTAAGAAGATTTTAGCCAATATGTGTTTGGCTGCTAAGAAATTATGCAATTAAATGCATCTTACATGTAGCCCTCAATGATTTTTATTCACCACCACCCCACTTTTTTTTTTAATAATTTGAAGCAAAAGAACCATGGAAGAGAGAAGCTTCTTAAACATTTCCTTCATTTTTGCCACGAAAAATCAGCCACTTGCGTTTCCCTTACAGGGCAAAATAAATCGACATCAGTAAGAGGGATAAAAGCAACTAGAGGGTGTATGGAAAGATTTATTTTCAGCAAAGAATCTGGGAGCAAAGAATTAAGCAGCCTCTCTTTCTGTGCCAATCTTCTGCTTCTAACTGTAGACACACATTCTTCTAAAACCATAGAATTATTTATGTAGTATTCAGTTAACCCCGTGAGTTATGTATTACACACTGCAAAAGGCAACATCATCTAATTCCAGTTCAGTTATCTGATTTTTAGTGCCTGTCCAGCAAAATTAGGAACCATGAAGCACAAAGAAGAAATCAGCAGAGTCTGGGCAACCCCAAGGTTTGCAGGAATATAAAAATATTCTGAGCAAGGTTATGCTCAAAATCCTGCAAGGTAGGCTTCAGCAGTATGTGGACCGAGAACTCCCAGAAGTACAAGCTGGATTCCGAAGAGGCAGAGGAACTAGAGACCAAATTGCTAACTTGCGCTGGATTATGGAGAAAGCCAGAGAGTTCCAGAAAGATATCTACTTCTGCTTCATTGACTATGCAAAAGCCTTTGACTGTGTGGACCACAGCAAACTATGGCAAGTTCTTAAAGAAATGGGAGTGCCTGACCACCTTATCTACCTCCTGAGAAACCTATATGTGGGACAGGAAGCAACAGTTAGAACTGGACATGGAACAACTGATTGGTTCAAAATTGGGAAAGGAGTACGACAAGGCTGTATATTGTCCCACGGCTTATTTAACTTATATTCAGAATACATCATGCGGAAGGCTGGACTGGACGAATCCCAAACCGGAATTAAGATTGGCGGAAGAAATATCAACAACCTCCGATATGCAGATGATACCACTCTGATGGCAGAAAGT